CATGTCTGTGCGTGCGAGCTCTTGTAATACATAGCATATATGGGCAAAAAATCATGCCCATACAAAATCCATTGTAGCTCTTTAGAATGTAAGGTGACCCCTATTTTTTCACATGTTGATAGAGTATGAATCGGAGATATGATTTCATGTCTCATTTGACCCTCAATTAACTCGCGACGTCATCATAATGGCCTCCGAACTCATAATTTCAATTTGCATATTATGACGTCAGCATATTTCTTGAAAATTGATTGTATCTCTGTAAATATTGATCGATTTTCTTCCAAATTTTGATATGTTCTAGCTGGGACAATTTTCTACGAATGCAGCCATCACAATTTTTCATTTAGACAAAAGCATCATGGTGTATTTTTGCGATTAAAGGAGGAATATCAATTTTTCACTTTTTGCGTGTATTCTCTATGGGACATGACTTTTTTTAAAACTTGATTCTACATTCCCGTCTTTCGCGAGCAATATCTCCGTCGTTTTAGCTTCGTTTACACTGAAATTTGAGTATGTTGTAGCTGAGACAATAAGCTATCTTAAATTTGCCCTTTATTTTGTCTCAAATTTTAGTTAGACCAGCCCACCTATACTTGTTCAAAACAAGTATTACGAATCTAGTTATTATTATTGTCATCAACATTCATTCATTTCATTTCATCTACATTATTTCATGAAATGCATTCAGAAAATGAAGAAAAAAAAGAAACGAAAATAACCCGTGGAAAAAAAATATTGTCGGCGAAGCATTTGTCGTAGTACTAGTAGCATTTGTATTTTATGGGACACTTTTTGGGCGGAACCATTGTCGGCGGAGCAATTGTCGGCGGATCAAATGTCGGCGGAGCAATTGTCGGCGGAGCAATTGTCGGTGGAGCAAATGTCGCGTTTTGCGGAGTAAATGTCGGCGGAGCAATCGTCGGCGGAGCATGTGTCGGGTTACCTGTTATGGCGCCAGGTGTATCGCCCTTGAGATAGAAATAGTGAACAGCAATTCAGAACATGGTTCAGTGTCTCAACACAATCGCAGTGCCTGCATTTGTTTGTTGCAGATTTGCCCCATCTCAGTAAATTTGCCCTTGTGCTTACAGTATCGGTAACAGCATTTACAAGAAATTTAAGGACTTTCACGGGCAAATTATACATGATGCTCTTCCAAATCGTACAGTTACTTTCTAGCGATAGAAGATCTAGAAATTTCCCTTGAACTACTAACTCTTTAACATGTGTATCCAAATGGTAGAGACTTCGTGAGTTAGGATTTTTTTTGCCTCTCTTTTCTTTTCTTTGAGTGTTGGATGCCCTTCAACAGATGAGTAAACCTCATAAACCTTTACAATCGTGGATTTTTTCCTCACCCATTTCGACTCACGTTGCAATTGAGAGTCTAAACAATGATTCACCAAATCATCCCCGTTCACCCTCATGGATATGTAAGAAAGAGTATGGCATTGGTTGTACAAATCGGAAATGGACGGGATGTCTAATCCATTTGGCATATGAACGAATGCTAAGGTTCTGGTCGTGCTAGACCACACCATTTCTTTACAAAGCGATTTGAAAGCATATCTAACGATTTACAATGAGTATATGTCATATCATTCACTGTCGGGTCAAATCTCAATGATGGCAATAAGTAACGTGAATGTACCTTTAGTTTGTACTCATTACGAACGAGAGAGGTATCAATATTCTTCAAACATTTTTCTATTTTGCTAGAGAGATATTCATGAATGTCTGAAGAAGTAAGGTTCTTGGTAATAACAGCCCCGAGATATTTATGTACTTCATTACCGACTGAGGATATTTGGTCATCACCAACTGAAAATGTAACATCACTGAATCTACCAGATGAGAAGGACAATGATCGACACTTGGACGGCTTGAGACGGAGATCCATCGATTTAATATGTTGGTCAATCTCATTCATTAATCTTTGGTGAGATCGCTTGTTACCGGTGATCAAACAGAAATCGTCCGCAAAAGGTGCGGTTATAATGCGTTCTCCGTCCAAATCGTATCCAAATGTCGAATTGACCTTCAAAAACTGAATAATCGGATCAAAACATAGTATGAACACTAATGGAGACAGGGGGTCCCCTTGGAGAATACCCCTTTGGAATTGAAATTCGTAAGAGACCCATTCTTTTGTTCGGACTCGACCTGACAACGAACTGTACAGGTTCCTAATATAACATTGAATCAAAGGTGGAAAATCATGTCTTTGTAGGGTAAAATGGATTAACTTGTGATTAACCGACCCAAAAGTGTCAGCCAAGTCAAACCATGTAACATGAATGGATTTATTTTTTTTCTCTTTGCATGGGAAAGTACTTCATGCATAACCAGATTGTGTTCAGTAAAACCACTTATTCCTTTTAAGAAGGCTTTTTGCAATGTATTATCAATGAGATCATTATCTAGCATAAAATGTTCAAATCGATCAGCCAGTATCTGATGGTATATCTTACCAACCGTGGTAGACAAAGCGATCATTCGAAAGTTGACTGGGTCTGTTGGGTCACCTAATTTGTATAACAATGTCACCTTGCATCGCGTCCAATTAGACGGTGGTATGCCGCTTTGCATCACCTTGATGAAAGAGTACAAAATGAAGGTTTTCTGTGTACAACAAGGGTTCTGCATCTTTTTCTTTTTTTCCATCATACATTTTCATGAACATAATATGTCATCAATATTCATCTTCAAACACATTTGTTTTGAAAATCCTTGCAGAGGTGTGTGTCAAATAACATCCCCTTTCACATCATTCTACAATTTAAGATAATTTTTGCAGAAAAATTTATGCAAAGAGGGGCTTTAACAATGAGTCAGTTTGTTTCTAACATCTTTATTCATGGAAATAGAACGTCAGTCCAGATTACTATATCAAAAATAGAGAAGCTTAAAAAGAGAAGAAGGTATACTAATGTATATAGAAGAAGGAGGAGAAAATAAGAAGAGTGAAGAAAAGAAGGGAAGATGTGAATTAAAGAAGAAGAGACAGAGACGAAGAAAAATGAAGGGGAAGAGTAACCTTTCTACACAGGTTACTAATCCAGGAGCATCATATTGGTCCTGGTCTAGCATTATATATGACATAAGATCCTACAAGGGGGAACTTACTGATCGATAACATAACATTCTTACCTACTCTGGTATTTACATGATGGAAGATTTCCTTGATCTGTTTTTGGTTTTTCACTGTGACAACACCTCTGCCTCCTACTTCAACACATATTAGATGTGATTCTCGGCTGCTTGTCTTGATATCGTTGTTCAGTTGTGCATAACGTTCTTACTTTCTCTCTCTGGCTTTCAAAACATTGACTCAAAGAGGGCAGGAAGTTTTATCAGAAATTACTTTGGGTGTATCCCCCTCTTTCAAATGTACACCAGTGTTTCTGTAGTGGGCATAATGTTAAGAAGTATGAACTCCCCCTCCCTTCACTCTAAAAACCAGGGAGGTCTGCTATTAAAGATGGTTATGGGAATTTCATTTTTTTCAAACCTTTATTTGCATACAGAATTTGGGGTGTTCCAGTGTTCTGGGGGATGTTTTAATAAGTTCTTTTAAATAAACCTTTTCTGGAGGAGGTAAAGCAAATTTAACATTGTGTCTGTTAAATTGTAAACAGTTAGCAGATGCCTGAGAGATTGCTAACTGTATTGGATAAACACAAGAGTTTTTATTCATACCTAATTAGACTATTGTATTGAATGAATGTATTGAAAATACATTGACATATGTCCAAGTAGGTTAGTTCATAGAAGTTGAAACATGTACATCTTACATGGTTATATACACTTTACACCATACATAATGTAGAAAGCCAATTATCAAAGGATGTAACTTATAACTAGGTAAATATTTTTTGCATTATGGTAATAATTATTGTATTATAGAGTTATCCTTAGTTTACATGGTATTTTTCAATACTAATTGCATTACAAGTACGTATATGTAGTAAAAAGGTGTAGAGAAACATTAGTGTTTTCAAAATGCACATGATACCAGATCAATTAACTCTTCGTAATTGACAACATCAAAGCCAGTAAATGTTTGATCTCATTTAAAAGGTAGCAGAGTGGGGGATAACAGCCAGCATTATATATTGGCATAGACTGTTAAGTCAGTATTATTAAAAATACTTTGCATTTTTGGCATGTAGCAGACTTTGCTAGTTATGAACTGTTTTGTGTTATTTATTTGTTACAGGAATCTCGAAGTAATGTGTACATTTACCTATTATTGCATACATGTACTTCTTCTCGCCCCCCCCTCCCCTTCCTCCCCCTAATCCATATGTATTTGTACATTATGCATGCTCCCCTTTAGAACCAGCATGTGCTCTTTAGTTGTTGACTATGCAAGTAATTATTGAGCAAGCAAAACATTATTTTCTTCTGCGGTGAAAATGAATCTTTGGCCTGCTAAATGCAAATATGCTGACCAGTAGCACAGATTAATTAAATCTGCATTACAATTTCTAATCCCTTATATCTGCATTGATCTGAGCAATGTTTGATGTATGCTACCATTCTGATGTTTTTTATTCTACGCTATCAATCGTATAATGATATTGATAAAGAATGATTATATGTGATGATCAACTTATGGTGGTATGTATCGATATGTTTTCTTTAGATATTAGACTTGGTTATCAGTTCATAACAGATACATTAAGTGTTCAAAATGCAAAAGGAGTAAATTGCACACAAAAAGACGTGCAAAGGGGTAGAAAAAAGGCAAAAAATAGGAATTTATCTAAGGCATGTGGAAACTTGTGATGTCACTTATACATATATGATGTGGTGTTCATCCTTCCCTACTTCAAGGGGTGGGGTTTGGAGAGGTCATTAAGTTAAATTCATCAAAACTGAAGTATGATGAAATTGTATAATCTTCTAGGAACAATATGAACAACTTGAAAAAATGTTTTACTTAACCCATGAATATTAAGACCCTAAATGTGCTATTTTGTTGTTAATAGTTGGAGGAGGGACTGACTCACATACCACAGTCATCACCACTGCAGCCATGACTGAGCTTCCCGTTCTATCGTCCATGCTGTCTCAGCTCTTTGAAAGCTCCAAGTACCTCGATGATGTGGCCTTACACCATCTTATCAGTGCTCTCTGTAAGCTATCTTCAGAAGCAATGGAGCTAGCCTACTCAAACAGGGTAAGCATAACTGATGTAGCCAAGTTGACTGATAGTTAATAGTTTTCCTGAAGAGCTTGATGAACCTGTGGCCTTACATCATCTTATCAGTGCTCTATGTAAGCTATCCTCTGAAGCAATGGAGCTAGCCTACTCAAATAGGGTAAGTATAACTGATGTAGCCAAGTTTGTCTAATAGGTAATAGTTTTTCTGAAAAGCTTGAAGAACCTTGATGATGTGGCCTTACACCATCTTATCAGTGCTCTATTTAAGCTATCCTCTGAAGCAATGGAGCTAGCCTACTCAAAAAGGGTAAGTATAACTGATGTAGCCAAGTTTGACTAATAGGTAATATTTTTCTGAAAAGCTTGAAGAACCTTGATGATGTGGCCTTACACCATCTTATCAGTGCTCTATGTAAGCTATCCTCTGAAGCAATGGAGCTAGCCTACTCAAAAAGGGTAAGTATAACTGATGTAGCCAAGTTTGACTAATAGGTAATATTTTTCCTGAAGAGCTTGAAGGACCTTGTCTCAGCTCTTTGAAAGTTCCAAGTACATTGATGACGTTGCCTCACACCTTCTTATTAGTGCTCTAAGTAAGCATTCTTTAGAAGCAATGGAGCTAGCCTACTCAAATAGGGTATTAGGGTAAAATAAGTATATTAACTGATGTAGCCAAGATTGACTAATAAGTAATATTTTTCCTGAAGAGCTCCAAGAACCTCTCTGTATTAAAGCTATCTTCAGAAGCAATGGAGCTGGTATACTCAAACAGGGTGAGTATGAGGACTAGCCAATGGAACTCATAGTAGCTAGATGATGTGGCCTTACACCATGTTATCAATGCCTTTGCATAGTGCTAGCAGAGACATCAGACCTAGACTATTCCAACAGGGTATGACCAATGTGGTCAAGTTTCAGATTTTGGTCTTCAGAGGCAATTGAGTTGGCCTACTTTAAATGTTTTTGTCATGTATGAGGATTTGATTGTAGTTGTCCCAAAGAGCTCCAAGTACTTAGCATTGGTTTTGTGTATGACCGATGATTGTATCCAGTCTTGACGTTGGTGTTCAGTCGACACATATCATCAGAATTGTGTATTGGAAGTTAGACCTTACACCATGTTAGAAGGCTGCCATCCTAGTCAAGCATTGCTTATGATTGCGGTCTCCTGCACTTTTTTAACAGATAGTTTGGATCATACTTTCAATTTATAATAACATGTTATAGAAATATTAAGTTTTTGTATTATATGTACATATGTAAACAACATTTTGACACAACTTTTATTATTGTTTGTATATTTTGTAATATACATGTACCTTGCCTTTATATGTTCTTTGTTATTCAGTTTATATTTGGAAAAATGCAGAAATAAAATCAAAATGGATTAATTCAAGATAGGTAGCAAGTTTTATGCTGATTGGTATTGTTAGCCTCCCTTTTCAAAACTTTCTCCTTGTTTTCCTTTTGAATCACAGCAAGAGCCCTCTCTCTTCGCAGTAGCCAAGCTCCTAGAGACGGGATTGGTCAATCTCCCTCGCATGGAGGTACTCTGGCGCCCTCTCACAGCGCATCTGTCCGATATCTGCCAGCACCCCAACGTTAAGATGAGGGAGTGGGGTGCCGAAGCAGTCACATCGCTCATCAAGGCAGCTCTTGCGTACAAGCACACCCCTCCACTTCATGAAAACCTGGTAAGTTGACTATTTCCCATTTCACCCGATTGAAATTTTTTGGAAAATGGAAATCACTTAAATGTAGCGTTTTTATTTTGAAAGACATTTTATTTTTATTAGAAATTTACTGACACATGTGTATAGATCAATTAATGAATGAATTTATGGGACTGGGTAAAAACAAAATATTACTGAGATGCTGTAATCACAAATTTTAATATTCTTTCAACATATGTTTATATGAGTATAGTGCAAATTGACTGTCATGGCAATTTTTTCAGCATCAAGCTGATACAAATTTATCTGTTCTCTCTGGAATATTTACATAATGATAAGTAGGCCAGCATAACCAACAACAAAAAGAGTAGTCAGTGAATCATATGACATTTTATGAGGTATTTCTGGATTTCTTCCCCCTGCTACAGAGGTTACAAATGTTACTCCTGAGTCCCCTCCAAGAACTGTCATTGATACCCCATGCAGACATCAGACAGAAACAGCTTGATTGTGTGCATCAGATCCTGTCTAACAACGGGGAGACACTCGTCCATGGCTGGCCTCTAGTCTTAGGGGTGGTTGGTGCCGTTACTACTGACCAAGGGTAGGTAGTATACAAACATTGATTGCTTTGACTTGAGGAGCATGGTTAAAACTATTGCCCAAGGTGATCTCAAAAATCCATTGTGCCCTGTGACGAAGTCGAGAAATGATCATTTCATACGTTCACCATATGAAAAGACCATCTCCATCTAAGTCATTCCATAGAGGCAAAACATGATTGTTCCAGTATGTTCTACAAAATCCAAACCGCAGATAATAGACAGTAAAAAGTAAAACCATGCCTTGTATCAAAGTACAACAGTAAAAAATTATTATGGTATTCATGCCTAAATGCCAAAGCTAAAAGCCATCATCCTTATTCAGAAAATAATTAATATCAAGATTATTTGCATTTCATTTCTGATCTGCTGCAGGGAGTCGTTAATTCGTTCAGCATTCCAGAGTATTCAGTTGGTCGTCACAGATTTCCTTTCCATCATGCCTTGCTACTGCTTACAAATCTGTGTCGAAGTGGCAGCCAAGTTTGGGTTGCAGAAAGAAGAGCTCAACATCAGTCTCACAGCAATAGGATTATTGGTAAGTTTACATTCCTCTTTTCTTTTTTTCTTTTTTATATACCTTTTTTCATTGATTGGCAAAAGTATGCTTTTTTGTGTATATCAGTATGATGTATTACATCAAGAATGTCATCAAAACATAAGAAATGTCAGTTCCCCCCCCCCCCAAAAAAAAAATGAAATGTTTATTTTCAGTTTTGTTTTGCTGCAAACAGAAACTTTGCATTCATGTTATTGTTATTGTTATTGGTCTGTTGGGAAGCATCAAAGCTACTTTCTATCCCTTTTATTCTTGTTCTCTCTTACTGTGTTGGCTTTTTTGTGTGACTGTTATCTATTTGTGTGTTTGTCTCTGTACATCTCTTTCTTATTCTATGTTCCGCTCTCTCTCCATCTATCCATCTATCTTTTCTCCCCCTCTCTTCTTTGGTTCTCTCTTTCTCTCTCTCTCTCTCTCTCTCTCTCTCTCTCTCTCGCTCTCCCTCCCTTTCCCCCTCTCTCCCTCTCTCTCTCTCTTCCCTCTCTTTCTCTTCCCTCTCTTTCTCTCACATATTTCCTCTCTATGTACTCTTCTTGTTATGTTCTCACAAACATACTTTGTACTATCTCTCTCCCTCTCTTTCTCTTCAGTGGAACATCTCAGACTACCTGTACCAAAACCGAGAGAAGATCAGAACGGTGCTCAGTAAGGAAACCGTTGGTGGACCTAAACCCACAAGCAATGGAGAACAACCCATCCCTCCCTTTGATGCTCTGTGGCTAACCCTCTACTCAAGGTTAGTCATGACATTTTTTTAGCAACCACCTGTACAGAAAGAACACCTGTTTCAAGTGAGCAGTGCTCCTCACATGAATGTATGGAACAGGAACTTGCTTATAAAGATCACCTACAAAACACTTTTGACCTAATAAGTGCTCTTCTGATATAATGGTCAGAGGTCTATTTCAAAATATGGATTATGAGGAAAGTCACTTAAGAGTTCTTCATAGTCTACTTATTTCTGATGTAACAAGCCTTCACTGCTTTAATTGTTTAATTGTTATATTAGAAAGTTGCGTGTTAATATTGCAAATTATGATAAATGTTGGTTTTGGAAGACATTTCATTGTTTTGTTACTTGATATGTATATAAATTGAATGAACTTGGATCCCTATTATCTAACCCAATCTTTTTGAGTAGGAGATATTTATCTTCAGCCTCAACATAGAACTTTACATGTATATAAGAATGAAGTAGTGTTGTGTTTAATATGATTTCATAACTTTGTCTTCATCTAACAGGTTAGCTGACCTGTGTGTAGACTCCAGACCAGCGGTCAGAAAGAGCGGTGGTCAAACTCTCTTCTCTACGATCAGTGCCCACGGAGCTCTCCTCAAGCATACCACATGGCAGATTGTACTATGGCATGTAAGTCAACTTGACAATCATAAGAAACTATTTTGGAAATCTGTATAAGTTCTTGAAAAGTGCACAGTAAGAGACAGATCAGAGTAGAAATTGCTTGTAAATGTTTTTGTCATTAAAGCATATTGAAAGGCAACATGTGAAGACAAGTTTGAATTTGCCCAACGCTATATCCCAGAATGGAACAGCCTTCAAAGAAATGTAGTGCATGCTGTCAGTCCAGAGGACTTCCAGGGACTACTGCTGAGGCATCTAATGCCCTTATTCCATTTAAAATTGTTGTCTTCCTCACACCGCTTGCAATCTATAGTTCATCTTCATGATAGGCTGCCTAGCCCTTTGAAGATTACCAAAGAAGAAGTTTTAATTACTCTTGCCTGAACCTAACCTAAAACTCCATTGCAACCCTAACTGCAATTCTTTCATAAAATAAACCCTGAAGCAAAATGATGTCAGAGCAAGTATTGGTTCACCAGTTCAAATATTTATCTAACAGACTTACCCTGCTAAAGTGGTTAGCACTGATGTAGTCCAGACTAGTATTCAGATTTTCCATAAAACCATCACAAAATATCAGTTTTTACCACAAACAAAGAGGCCTTACAGGTTATACATTTCACCCATTTTGTTGTTCTTCATTCATGTCTCCCCAGGTTCTGTTCCCACTGCTTGACAAAGTCAAGAAGTGTTCCAGTGTAGCTGCTACTGAGCAGCTGGAGCCCAGTGGAAACATCCTCATCCATCACTCAAGGGACACAGCGGAGAAGCAGTGGGCAGAGACAAAGGTTCTCACGCTAGCTGGGGTGGCCAGGGTCTTCAATACATGGAGATATGCCCTCTTACCACTAGGTAAAATATGGATGTTATTGTTACCGGAGATGGTAGTAAATTCAGTCTGATACAGTAAACGTGAATAATATAATAATAATAATAATATTCCACTTTTATACAGCGCCCAATACATCGATGCAATGATGTGTCTAAGCGCTTTACAGATATATTATTACCCTGGTCATCGGATTCAGGTTTACCCGCACACAATGTATGCACATGCTCCACTCCCTGGGGAGTGAAGGGGAGTATTTATACGAGACTGACAGCCTTACAGGAATATATTCCTTTGTATTTCAGAGGAGTTAGTGTTTCTCAAGGGAGAATGTGCAGTATGGTTGGTGCTAATAAATTTGTGTAGTTTTGTGTATTATTTTAGTTTTTAAATGTTAATTCTTCTAATCATACCATTCTTGAAGTTTGCCTTAGAGTATTTTTTCTTGAGCAACTTGTTAGGCTCACTTCTGACTCACTTACCTTTGCATCCTATGAAATGACAGTTATCATTCCATGTTATTTTTATCAGGTGACTTTCCCAGAGCATGGGCTCTCCTGTTGGAGCACATAGAGGCTTCTGCACTCAGCCCCAGCAAAGAAGTCTCCCTCAATGCCCTCAAGAGTTTCCTAGAGGTCATCCAGATGAAGACGCCGAAGCAGATAGTGACGGTCATCCCGGACCCACAACAGTCCCCTCAGAAATCAGGACGGAATGGTAGCATTGAAACGGCGTCCCTCACGACGGACCTCCCCACCCCAGGTGGCGAGACAATCATCCGCATGCAACCTTCGAACTCTGATACATATGAAACGGAAAATGAAAGGACTAGTGATGCAACCAATGGAAGCATGGAAGCTGTTGAAGGGATCGTCCCAGGGTTTGAAGATGCCGCCCTGTGGTCCAACGCATGGAGGGTTTGGATCAGTATAGGTACCAACAGCACAAAACCACCCGAGACCAAAGCGGATGCCGTGCTTCCCACGCAAGCTTTCCTGACGGCCCTTGTGCAGATATTCCCCTACCTCTTTGATCATGTCAAGGACAAGTTTGTGTCATCGGACTTGCAGAAGTTGTGCTTGGTTCTGCAGAGTGCAGTATCTGTGCCAGTGCAGGCAGACATGTCAGTGTTCCTGATACCGTCGTCCACAGAAACAGAGATCACCACGTTGCAGTCTGCGGTCTTACATGTATTTGAAGTACTCAAAAAGGTCAGTTGTTATAGAATCTTGCATAACATTCTGACTAAAATTCCAATTGTTTGTCATTAATTTATGATTTAAACTTTACTATGGGACAGATGTGTCCTCAATACAAGTTCCAACATGAACCTGAGTGGCTTAATTCAAGGATGTTGTCCAAACTAAGAAATTCTGCTATACTCTTAATGGTACATTGGTCCCCTACCCTTGTAATTGTTGAGCAGTGCCTGGTAAGGTGAAACCTGTGTATAAAAGACCACTCACTGGAGACAAGAAAATTCATCTAGGCCGGAAGTCATTTTTGATGAGATCTTCTAATGAGAACCACTTCACAAGGAAAACAAAAGATGTGATCATTTTAGACAAGTATACTTTATATACAGGTGGTTGCTAGAACAGGCTTGACAGAATATGACTCTCCAATCCTGACATTACCCTCTAAGTCATATGCTAGAATGGTATGCTATAAATCTCTGATGACAGCAATTTTGTCCTCTCTTCTATTCTCTAGGCTGTTGCAGAAGGCAGTGAGGTAATGCAGTCTATGTATCCAGCCATATTTGATCAACTCTTAACGTTCATCACATACTCCTGCCAGCCTCCATCGTTTGGTCACATAGAGACCAAGGCTATTACCAAAACTGCACCTAAACAGGTAAGGAAGGAATATTACTTAGGTTTGCATGATCTGACACTATGATACATGCAATATTAATTTGTTGGCTACAAATTGAGTTTAATATAATGCGCATTTTTCTTAGATCCCAGCCTGAGTGTTTATTGGTTTGGTATTCAAAGGGTTAGAACATTATGAGAGCAGCACATTACGGGGTTCTTTTCCTTTGAATGTAATGAAAGCCCCAACATTTTCTCCTTCTTCTGCTTTTTCATCTTGTTCTTTTTTTCTTTCCGGTAATCCAAAGCAAAATATTATAATAATATGTCTAATTGAAGACAAAAATAGCTGTCGCGATAATGACAATTTTTCATACTCTTAAACAGATCTTGAGTGTAAACTTAATATTCTTTTTCGCATCTTGCCATGCTAGATTACAGATCATAGATAAGGTTGAAGCAATGAAGTACTAAGTAAATGAGCTAAATGTGCTTACTTGTTAGGAGGAAGGGGGCGTGTAAGAAATAAAAAATTGAGAGATTAACAAATTGATGATAGTAGTTTGTTTCAGTATGTGATTATGCAAATGTCACCTTTGCAAAAAAGGGCATCAGGCCCCGTTAATTATTCATACTTGTTGACACCCTTCCATGACACTTCATTCTTGGCTTGATATTAAATGGAAAAAAATCCCACAATCGCTTCATCTTTGAGCTCTATTAAAAAATAAAATAAAAATAAAAAACATGCCCCCTCCCACGATACATGCCCCAGAAAGAAAGAAAGACATTAAAAAAAAAGCCTCTCTCACTGTGACTCTCAAAACTACAGTGCAAATACGTCGACATATCTATATTGGTAGTATAACACTCCCCCCCCCCTACACACACACACACATACTGCTTCCTGGATTGCCTGTTAGTGAGAAGAAGGAAAGAGGAAAAAAGTGAAGACAAACATTTCCTGAATAATAGTTCGTTGTGTGTGGTCTAATGTCCTCTTTAGGGAAATAATGACACCCAAAAGTGCAATGTCTAGCCTCGGGATCTTGGTGGATCACTCGCAAATTGGATGTGTGGTTAGATTAGGATTCTAGTGAAGGGTGACAAATATTGTGGAGAGATCTACATGTATAGCTTCTAGAGATATTGAGCATTCTGTGTCATAGGCATGTCACTAGAAAATCAAAAAGAAGATATATTTAGCCTGTTTTTTCAGACTTTTCTATTGATTATATTTTGAGGAACGTAAGGAAAACAAGAAATAAACATAAAGTACACACAACTCAATGTCATTTGAGTTTGTATGTTTGATTTAGAGTAAAGTGTAAACAATTTAATATTGCAGTTTATTCCACACCTAAAATGAGACAAGTCTATGATTCTGACATATGTGCTATCATATAAAATTCACTGTTTCCAACCAAATCCATAACATAAGCAAGTCACACACTTTATCTTCAAATACACTTCTTTATTCATTCATACATGTATAATTCAATAAAGAGTGGAACTTGATACCAGCCTTCAATATCAGGTTCCTAGCAATCTGTAATAATACTCTATTCAGAACCTGTAAACATTCATTGCTATATTGACTACACCCATTTTATATCTACTCTGTAATGTCATGACTCATTCCATTTTGTTTCATTATTTGTTTCCTGATTTTACATCTTGCATACAGGTTCACTAGTTACAAAGTACATGTGCATTATGGGAATTTTATGTTTTCAATAAATATCTTAAATTTGTATGCATCAATGTTATATCTTTGTGCAAACAACATGATTATGGATGTTTACATGTTTCTAACCATATACACAATCTGGGAGCATTCTTTCTTTTTTACTTCTTTTTTTTTGTATCAGTTTTTTAAAACTTTTATGCCTTGGGTCCTTTTTTTTCTTCTCAATACCATTGTGTCATTTGAGATCATGATCATTGTCACATACAGGACATTCCTAAATCTCAATTCAGGACGTCTAGTTTCCTGTTGAAAAGTTCACTCTACATTCCATCCTAGTTCATTCAACAGTGTGTTAATTCCCTACAGTTCCCTCTCCAAAGGGGAAAACCGCTAGGCTTCGCCGCTTGTGCAATTCCAACGTTTGAGTCACCTATATCCCCTTTTGGAGTCATACCTTTTTATTTCCTTGTCAGTTATTTTGGAAGCTTAGTATCTAGGTGGGGATTTGTATCTCCTTGTGTCAGCTATCAAATTAAGCTCAGCATTAATGACCTATTTTGGTGTAGGACATGCAAGCCTGATAATTTCTGAATTTATTTTATTTTTCCTGATTTAAAAAAAAAAAAAAAATTTGATTTTTGGGGAATTTTTTTTTAATCATGATTTTTTCTCCCGAAATGTAATTGCATTATTCACAAAATTGATATGGTTTTGTGTCTTTATCTCGGGATATGAAAGGGGAACTATTTGGTCATAAGTATGTTGTTTAGAGGAGGAAGTTTGTTGTTTTAATGATTTCTAATAATTCAGGATGCAGGTTTGTGTAAACGAGATGTTGTACGACAAAAATAATTGGCTAAATTGCTAAAGAAAAGAGTAAATGGAGCATGAATGATCATTCTCCCAATTTTTTTTTCTTTTGCTCTCATTGTTGCATTGTATGAATAATGAGAATTAACAATGCTGTTGCTGATTTCTTTTTTTGTAAATAACGCATAGTTTAACAAAATTCTTGATGAAATGCTTTTGATGTTTTATTTTATTTCCATTTTTTGTTAACATATAGAAAAAGACACAGGTAAATATGAGAAATCAGTATTGTGCATGGAGAACTAATACTTAATATCTAATAACGTTAATATTTAATTGCTTTAAAAGATGAGAAAATGAATTCTGTATTTTCCTGGTTCAACCCATTGCAAAGAAAAAAAATGTCTCTAAAGGTTCGTTTGGATATGATGGGGAAAAACCTTGGCATTTTTTTAAAGATGACATAACGTGCGATACATTCACATTTCTGAATATTAAACTATCGAGCTTGGTGAATATGGGCAAGTCCTTTGTTGCACGCAGTTGCTGTTCATTTTCCACTTTTGAAAAACAAAGAGGCTTTTTTTAATGCAGTTAACTGTGCCATATCTGAACAAGTCTTAACGGCTGATCCCAAACACTGCCGGTATGTTAGAAGTTGTTTTTTCCATCCTCATTCTTAGCCAAACATTTTATCTCACTTTGGAATCGATAAGATATAACCAGTAACCTCCACAAGGCTGATACTTGGCCTGTTATATTTGTTATCTACACAGTACATGTAATAAATTTGAAATTTCGAATAAAATATTTTGCTTACATCACAAAGTCAAGAAATATGTGGGCAGATTTTACTTGCCCTCTCCCCCCCCCCCCCTCCCTTTCCATTGTCAGTGTAAAACAAAGAAAACCTTCAAAACAGAATGAGAGAATTCATTTCTTCATCTACAATTTTGCAGTGATTTTAGATTTGAAATACACAAATTTGATTGAATCTAATCTCTTAAAACATCATACTAACCCTTCTATCTTCGTCTCTCTTCTTTTCTCACGCTTAATGCTGCAATAGCTTTATCAGGGAATGTTTGATTCGAAGGTACATTTCTGTGCATTCTGTCTAATTGCTTTAGATGTTAATTTTATGCATTTTGATTTCCTTTTCCCTCTTTTGTACATCTGGGGAGTATTTCACAAAGACTAAGATCGACTTTAACTATGGCAGGCCTTTCATGCCACTGTTTGCTCTCTCAGCATTTACTGGCATTGGCCTCTCAAGCGACACAAAAAGCATGGTCTCAAATCTACAGAATTTACATTTTGTGATAATTCATTATTGAAGGAAGAAATATTATCTAAAGATCATAATGGTGAGAGCAACCAGTGGCATGAATGGCCCGCCATAGTTAAGTCCAACCTAAAGTCAATCTTAGTCTTTGTGAAACACCCCCCTGGTCAATACCACAGTCACACCGATTAAAGGGGAAGTCCACCCTGAAATTAAGTTAGTTTTAATAGGAGTAGAAAAATGAGAGAAACAAGTCAGTGAAAGTTTGAGCAAATTCTGATTAAAAATAAGGAAGTTATGATTTTTGAAGTTGTGATCAATCAAACACAAATTGGCAACTCTATGACGTATCATGCGAGCTCAACTTCCATTTGCTCAGTACTAAAAAAATCTAAAATTTTCATTTTCCCTCAAGAAAAATTTCAACCATACATGCACCCTAAATATAATAATTGCAAATATGTTTCTATACTCCCCCTGCAAGGAACAAATATATATTCCGTCATCAATAACGAAGAAAACATGATTTTATGGAATATTATGCACAAAGCAAATGAAGGAGAGCTCGTATGATAAGTCACAGAGTTGCCAATTTGTATTTGATTGATCACAACTTCAATAATTCATAACTTTCTTATTTTCATTCAGAATTTGCTCAAACTTTCACTCACCTGATTTTCTTATTATTCTGCCTCTATCGAAACAAACTTATTTGGGGGTGGACTTTCCCTTTAACCAATTCCAGACCGACCGTACAGATGCGCTGTTCAGATGAACGAAATAGTTTGCTTGGTCGTGTGTCTGTCTGTCTGTCATTAGGTGTGACTGGGGTCAAAACATTTTAGTTTTTGTTTTTATGATGATTAGAAACTTTTCTCGTGAAATTGTGTTGTGCCGCTGGCAGAAGGTCATTAAGCATGCACGAATGCCTCAAAGCAAATTTCTGATACCTCGCTTCTGATCTATACATGTTATACCATTTTTCTATTAAAAGATGACAGGATTTCTCTCTTTGTCTGTATCTACTAATAAAAGAGAAAAGGGATAATTTGTAACTACCTATTTTAAGGTGTTTCTTATCAAATAAGCACATATGTTTGAAGTTGCAGGCATTCTAATGCTATTGAGTTTCTGCTTCCATCAGTAGTGTGCATCCGCTTGTAGCCGAATGTTGCGACACGTTTACAATCCTTCTGCCAGCTGCATTAACAAAATGCACTCTCAGTCATTAAATTTCAGTTGGATATTTCTGTTATTATTACATTTAAAAAAAAAAAATCATTAGTGTATACAAACTTTATGGTGCATGTACCTGTTTCGGTTTTAGAATGAAAACATATTTTTATTCCAAATTACAGTAAAAATATTCACATTCGTAGAAAATGTTATTATGTATTTTGCAGAATTTTCAAACTATTTCATTAGGATATGTTCTCCTTTGAAAAGTTTTGAAGGACCACAATTATTGTTGTTATGTATAAATTGTCTCTCTCCTGCTCATTTTATTTCTTCAAAAGTAGCATTATGACTTTTTAAAAGCCTTTTACCATTTCCTTCTGAAATCTGTCATCCTATACTATTTAAAGCACCAAGCCTCATTCTTACTTTTTAGCACGCCTAAAAGGTGGAAGAAAGATTTTTTACATCAAGATATTTTTTCCATAACACTTTTACCATTCTTCTTTCTTCTCCATTTTTTTGTACTACAAATAGCTTTAATTTATTTGGAGGTTTTTAATTATTCAGAATTATTAATTCATTAGTAGTTGTCATTGCAAGATGCGGATGATCTTCTTTTTTTAAACAGAAATACATGATTTTCATTCCAAGGTCAGGGCTGGATGGGATGGGATGAACCAAGATTAAGCAAGGACTATTTTGAGAAAGAATCATGCTTCCCTTGTCATGGGGTTTCAATTATGCCTTCCCACAGATTGTGCGCCAAACTTGATTTAGCAATGATTTAAAAAAAACTCAATCAGTGATATGAATAATATTATGGGGCAATATTTCATATAATAGATGATATTTTGTCATTTCAAAACAAAATTTAATGTTTAATATTTTCAGTTTACCAAATATTTGTAGATTCCATGTAGGGGCCCTTTTTTATGCCTCCGTTACGAAGTAGCCGGAGGCATTATGTTTTCGGGTTGTCCGTCCGTCCGTCTGTACGTACGTCTGTACGTACGTACGTCTGTACGTACGTACGTCCCGTTCTCGTGATCGCGTTATCTGAAGAACCGATTGATGGATTCCTGCCAAACTTTGGTCATGTATGTATCTTGCAGAGCCGATGAACTGATTAGATTTTGGGGTTACGATGTCAAAGGTCAAAGGTCACAGGGCTCATTATGTATGCAAAAACAGCTCGTGATCGCGTTATCTGAAGAACCGATTGATGGATTCCTGCCAAACTTTGGTCATGTATGTATCTTGCAGAGTCAAAGAACTGATTAGATTTTGGGGTCATGAGGTTAAAGGTCAAAGGTCACAGGGCTCATTATGTATGCAAAAACAGCTCGTGATCGCGTTATCTCAAGAACCGAGTAATGGATTGCTGCCAAACTTAGGTCATGTATGTTACTTGCAGAACCGATGAAGTGATTAGATTTTGGGGTCACGAGGTCAAAGGTCAAAGGCTACAGCGCACATTATGTATGCAAAAACAGCTCGTGATTGCGTTATCTCAAGAACCGATTGATGGATTGCTGCTAAACTTAGGTCATGTATGTTACTTGCAGAGCAGATGAACTGATTAGATTTTGGGGTCATGAGGTCAAAGGTCAAAGGCCACAACGCACATTATGTATGCAAAAACAGCTCGTGATCGCGTTCTCAAGAACCGATTGATGGATTCCTGCCAAAATTAGGTCATGTATGTTACTTGCAGAGCCAATGAACTGAGTAGATTTTTGGTTCATAAGATCAAAGGTCAAAGGTCATGGGCTCATTATGTATGCAAAAATAGCTTGTGAACACATTCTCATTAGAACTGACAGATGGATTACTATTTAACTCAGGACATCTTGCAGAGCCAATGAACTGAGTAGATTTTAGGGTCATGAGGTCAAAGATCAAAGGGTCATATATGTATATGAGAAATTGCTTGTAATCACGATATTCTGAGAACCTGTTAATGGATTACAATTGAACTTGAATTCGAAAAATGTCTTCTGTTTTGGTTTGTAAAATTGCTCTATGACGGAGGCATCATTTTCGACTGCGCGCAGTCGAATTCCATCTAGTTCATTTTCTTTTTTCTTCTTTTTGTTGTTGGGTTTTTTTTTTTTTTTTTTTTTTGGGGGGGGGGGGTTTCATTTGATAAAATTCTTATAGCTCAAAGATCTTAAAAACATTTTTCTTTGGAATTTATATGTCCATAAATGCATTTTGTGCATGTTACTACCGTTTTAATGTACAGTGTACAAAATCATGCAAAAATGTAGGTTTTAGAATTTAATAGTTTGAATCGATTTTGATTTCTTAAATGTTTAATCATTTCATATTAACATACAAATTCATGTACATGCTTGTGTAGCTTTAGATGCATTTAATGTATCAAACAGTATTTGTCTTCAGCTTGCATCACATTTATCATTATACTTGTATCATGGGTTGTGTAAATCATGTGCCTTTGTTGTAATCATGTGTGTTTTGGTTCATACTCAGATGTATATTTGTTTAGTGTGTTTTTGTGCTGTTTCAATGTGTTTATCACCGTTTCATGGTTTTGTGAACATAACCCCTTTCCCGTCTGAAATATCATGAGGGATTTGGATTTCTTAAGTCATCCTAATTGCAGAATTAAAGATGATTAATCTCTTTTGTGCTTCCCAGTTGTGCAATGTAATATTTGTCTTTACAACTACTATATACAAAAGCCATCAGGATGACTGCTGTTTACACCGATCCAAAATTATGTTGTTTTTATGGGCAAAGTATTGTGATTGTAGGCCCATTTTCTTCTTTGTTGATATATTTTGGTGTTAAAGTACAACAATTTAATTTGGCCCAATGCTTATGTGATGGAAAATTAAATGCTTCTTAAGGATCTGTTCTAGATTTGTGTCCATGATTTTCATGGGTTCCTACATGCAGTTCTTATGAGAGGTTTTTTATTATATATGTGAACTCCCCAACCCCAGATGGAATAACTGACTAACTGCAACCTACTGAAACTTGCACATCAGCACTCATCATATAACAACCTGGGCCTCGTCTTACAATGAGTTACAATTGATCCAAATCAATCGCAAGCCCTCCAATCAATCGCAAGTTTGCAGTCTCCTATCCCTTATACATAGTTGCGATTGATATCAACTCTTTGTAAGACGAGGCCCTGGTCTCCTGTACTTAACACCTGTTTTACCTTTAATGCTGATTTTTTTTTTTTTTTTAATTATTATTTTACCATATTTTTGTAAATTTGTATCATCTACCAAATGAGACAGGAGAAATGGGAGAGCACCGATTATATAACATCCTATTCTTCTGTACTTAACACCTGTTTTACCATTAATGCAGATTTTTATTATTATTTTACCATATTTTTGTAAATTTGTATCATCTACCACATGAAACAGGAGAAATGGGAGAGCACCGATTATATAACATCCTGTTCTTCTGTACTTAACACCTGTTTTACCATTAATGCAGATTTTTATTATTATTTTACCATATTTTTGTAAATTTGTATCATCTACCACATGAAACAGGAGAAATGGGAGAGTTATAGGTCTGCCACACAGGTATGTAGATGTTAGTTCTGTGGCACAGTGTGACTTGTATACCCCTCTTTGGCTGCAGTGTTTTATTTTTTATTAACCCCTGTTTGATACATAGCGTTAGCTTTAATCCAAGAGAGTGACGACTGCTGCTTTTTATCTAGGTACATTCATTCGGTATCGTGCGACTAGAGAGGAATGAGGAACTAAAATCTAGTTGGATTTGAGCCTATTTATATGAAGCATTCATTAAGATATCATGGGAGAGGGAAATACTGATCTTGGTTGTTTTTTTTTTGCATCATTAAAGGTAAAGACCAGTATTGGAAACGCCCCAATTTCAAAAAATGAAATGGAAGCTCTCATTACCAATCATGTGAAAGAATATGTTTTGACTAATACATGATGATAAAAAATTTGCCGGGAAACCGCCTACTAATTCTTATATTTGGTAAATTTGTTTCTCTCATGGTCTGTGAGAGATATAGGGTAGTCCCATATACATCTTTCTGTGTATAGTGCTTGTAACTTTACGAAGAATGGGCCAAATTTCTTATCATTTTGATGATTCCAGAACCTTGCAGATGCTAGATGCTAGATGATCAACCTTTTCTGATCGATTCAACAACGTTTCTTTCACAATGCAATCGCATGACCATAACTGGTCTTTAGCTTTAAGGGGAAGAAACTTAACATCTTAGTGTACTTAATATATTTGCAAGGATGCAAGTTTTAATGGAATGTTTTCGTCTAACACATTAACACATTTACACATATAAATACAGTTACAACAGGGTTAACTTCAATCTTTTTTTGAAACAACCAACTCAATTTTCATATAATATCAGATAAATAGGTATTTGTTAATTACAGTACATATACCGACGTGGTATGCATTTGGTTGACTAATTTAAGACTAGACCTCATAATTTGCCTTTCTTCCATATACATAATAATTGATCATGATAATAATAATAATAATGATGATAATGATAATAATGATGATAATAATAATAATGATGATAATAATAATAATAATAATAATAATAATAATAATACAAATTATAATAGTTACTTTTGTATAGCGTTTGATACTGGTACTATGCTTATAAGCACTTTATATTGTAATCATTAAAAATAGACTAGGATTAGTACATGTACATTTAACTTTTGATTTTGTAGAAGGATTCTAATTGATATTGTTTGTTTTATTGGGCTGAAAGAAAATGAATGTCCTTACCAGTACTAAGTAACCAAACCATAGTATGTATGCTTAGCAACGTATATCCTCCCTGTTTATCCTTTTTATCTTTATTGATAAAGGAAGTCTCTGTGTTTCCAAGAAAAAGTCCCGATTTTGGTTTGCTTATTTGCGAACGATACACCCTTAGATAAATCATGACAAAATAAATGTATTCTTGTGGAATTATGTCATTCCCTTTTCTCTCCTCTTCCCATTGATTTTTCATGATTTGTAGAATGTTTTGTTTGATGGTTTTGTTTTGTTTTTGCCATTCCCTCTTAAATTTTTTTTTACAACCCTTTGTTCAATTGTTTGTCATGATTATTTGCTTTGAAAATAAAATGTTATTATCGTCGGTTCACCACTAATCATCATTTAAGTGTTGTTGTTATTGATATAATTTTCCATGTTTGTTGGTATATATCTTCTGTTTTCAGCTAGAAGGAGGTTATCTCACTTTAAGACGGAGTTAAAGGTACTATGTCCCATTTGCAGGCCAAAAAAATGAAAAAGTTAAATTCCAACTGCATTTGAAAGATAATACTAATTTAGAACTTCCCTAAAAAAGGTGGGGCTTGAAAATGTCTTCAAGTGGGAAAATAACGATTATTAGTTGTCAAATCGACTTTAGGGCTATAGAGCCCCAATGTAATAGTCTTGATTTTCAGACAATTGTACTGAATGATCATACGTTTTATGCTGCGCAAAGATTCAATCGGTTTAATCTTGGCCATCACAAGAAGTGGGTTATTGATGTAGACAAATGCTCATGTACCCTTTACAACTCTTTTCATGTATGTTATTACCAAAGAAGAAAAAAAGCCAGTCAGTCACTCAATAGTGTCTGACAGTGAAGTCTAGCAAGTAAACGGGTTTCCTTGCATAATTTGAATATGAGGACACTGCTCAAGTTTAAATTTCACAGATAGGACATACCGGTACATGATATATTCATAATTCCTGCAAAGTTCTACAGCATTTGAGGTTGGCTGCAAAAGGGACATAGTACCTTTAATGCCCTCCTGGCTCCAAACAGGATATATTTGTTAATAGCATGTTCTTAACATAAAGTCATTGGCATCTGTGTGATGCAGCCATAAGCATCAATTTTTCATTCTCATGAATTACACCCATTCATCCATATGATCATTTACTAATTACATAACCTGAGTCATACCATCATATTCTCACATTATGTAGCAACCATATATTTATTTATCCCTTATATGGCATGTATCACTGTGTATTCATTTGAAATAATATGCAGGCACAAGTTCTAACGAATTCCGAAGCACTCTGAGCCCAGCCAAATTCTGTCATTCAGGAGCAGTATCAAATCTGCATTGCTGGGTTTTACTAATCGCTGCTCTTACACCAGATTGCGCAATAATAGACCTATGAGAGATAGTCTAGAGCATGTATGGTTCAGACCCTAAAATCACTACAAATCGTGCCTGCAAACTATTATTCATCTAATTTGTCACATTTTCTTGTCATTGCAATTTGATTTTGTATGGAATGTGTCATTTCTGTCTGCATTTTCACCCCATCCATTTTTTAATGATTCTAATCAAACTGAACTGCCTTGCAAAAAAGGTATGACAAAATAAAAATAAAATTTTTACTAAAAGGTAGGAGTGGAAAGAGGTTACATAGCTCTGTATATCAGAAGGCCCCTAAGCAGCTATACTCATCTGTGTATAATTTTTGTTTTTGTTTTTGTATCTTTTGCTTCATAATGTTTTTTTTTTGTTGGGGGGGGGGGGGGGAGGGTGGTCCCCCAATATAGCTTATCATGTACCGCATATTAAGATTCCATTTGTATGATTGGTAAAAACTGCAGGCATAAAATTCGCCAAAAAATTTGACCAGGCATAGTCGTATTTGCAAGGACGCGATAAAGTTAATAACAGATACGCACTGTGAGACACCCGCATTTCTGACGCGTAAAGTTCCATTGACCCTATAACAGACATTAGTTGTTAAAATATTATTTTTTAAGAATTTACACTTAGGATGTAGTGTATAGAACAAATATTTACTGCTTATTTTTTTTTTTTTTGGGGGGGGGGGCATGGTTAAAACTATAGCTCCTCTGTGATCTAGAGACTGCACTATGCCCCTCATCTTCGTCTTGGGTCACAGTTCAATTTCGACATCACCTTGGGTAAGAGTTTTAACTGTGCCCCTCATAGTAGTCAATACTTTATGACTCATACACTCTACTAATGTGTTGACATTCTAATACATGTAGTTCCAATTCACATTAGGTTTCAAGGTGTTGGATTAATTACAGTACACCCATCTTTTGGTTGATATAGGAACCCATTTTCCCTGATTCGTATTTGAAAAAATCTATGGCGAAGGCTTTCATATTTTCCCAGATCGGAGATCTTAAAGTTTATGAAAGTAAATAAAAAATTATGTAAATTGATTGCAGTATATCTTCTTTGCAAATGGATTTCAAACTATACGTCAATCCAAGGGATCTTCAGAGTCAGTTGATTGTATTATATTGAGTATAATGTCTTCAATGTTAATATCTGCATACTGTGAAATCCACTGCAATAATTTGCTGATGTACAGTTTAAGGAGTGGATGAAACTAACAGCATAACCCATCCATTTCACCTAGGCATGATGGTTTTCGTATTAAGCTTTCCTTCATGTGTTTGTACAATAATATCCTCCAAAGAAACCGAAAGTAAAGCTTTATTAGAATTCCCTGGCAAGTGTTCCATGACTTGCAAGACAATTGTTCTTTGTGTGCACTTTTTTTACGTACACTTGCATGCATTATGTTGCTAACAGTGACAATCAAGCAATACCGTTATGGCAATTTACACACTTTTCCAAAAACACATAGATAGTTTCAGTCTCAATTACCTGGTTTTTAGTATGTCACCACAGATGCGACAACCACAACTTTGTGTCTTCTTCCTTTTTTTCTTCTATATACATTGTATTTACACTAATCAATTGATCATTTTGTGACAATGGTTAGGATTTAAGTCACAGTGTAGAAAGTATCATTCTTTTTCAATACATTGATCTGATCATTACCGGTAGTCATTTGTCATCAAACTTTCAAATTATCTTTTTCACCAAATCATCAAGATGTGTCACAGGTACTAAGGATCTATTCTTTTTAATGAAAAATTTGATGGTTAGATTTGAAATGAAGTTCAACTCGAACAGATTTCATGATATTCTCTCTTTCTTCATCAGTCTGACTGGGTCGCCATGAACTACGTGCCCTTTGCTGAGAAGGCCTTACAGCTGACCTCTGACCTTTACAGGTCAACGGCCGAGCATCCATCCGTCATGAAGCAGCATGTCCTGCAGAACATACTAAGGGTAAGTCCAATCTCTAAAGTCTCTCAAGAATCGCCATTTTGTTGATGCCATTTGAAGGCCAAACAAGCCCTTGTTCACACAACACAAGCAGTGGTGAGCAGCCTCTGAAAAATCGCTCCGCAAAATAAGAGAACTGTGTCAGTTGTATATGTAGGGCAAGTGAGGGTTGAAAAAAGGAAGCTTCATGCTTAAGGTTTTGAACAGACACTTACATGCAGTTATCCAAATGTGAAAGGAGCTGCATTTGTGTCGAGGTAGGTTCCAAAGAGAGGCAGGTTATCATGTCTTATGTGAACGAGGCCTGGCTTGAATGATTCAATTTGTAAGATGCTTCCTGTAGAAGCTCGAAGTATGATCGGTACTTGTCTGAAAGGTCCTGCTATTCAGGTCACCAGCTGGGCCACAGAGACAATGATAATGCCTGGGTTCCCTACTTGTAATTTGACCTAAATGATGGTCACTTACAATAGATTAGTAAAGCTTCATATGAAACAATGCTAAGAATAGTACGCAGAAAATCTAAATTTTGTATTCTTTCATCAATATTAGACTTTAAACACATTATTTTAAAATCCTTGCAGAAATGTGTTTTAAATGACATCCTCTTTCACATTATGATATAGTTTAAGTGAAATTTTGCCATCAAATTTTTTGGGCTCCCAACATTTTAGAGGGGCTTTAATAAAGGGAAAATTATCGTGTGACATGTTTTATTTACTGATTGAGCAATAAATGTAGGATTTTAAAGATACCCAACAGGCTTTTTTGTGTGGTACATGTATAGCATTATTTGCTCCAGGGCAAGTGCATAATTCAAGCCCTGGCATACAAACAACCTCAATTTAAAAAAAAGAGATAGATTAGGTAGAATTGTGTAACATCAACAATCAAATTCATCCTTGAGAACAAATTGTGTTTGGGATTACATGATTGCATAGTGTATGCAGAGTATGTAGCATCCAATTTGCCAAATCTGACGTATTGATACAGACAGCTGTTGAGTTAGACCTGTGGTTAGGGGGTGAGTGATTAGAATAGAGAGAGGAAGGGGGTGACAAGTTAGGAAAAGGAAATCAAGCACATCACTGAAGAAAGGAGAGATTGTGGAACATATTTTAATGTTTTGTGGATATTGGAAAATACTTGAGAATTTAAAACTATGGAGTGGGTAGAAAGTAAAAAAATAAAGAAAAATGGGGCAGAGAAAACGGACGAAAGATAAAGATAGGAGTGGAGAGAAAGGGGGAGAGGAGGAAAGATGTGCGTGCAAGTGGGGAAGAGAGAAAGGGAGGGGAGAGGAAGGACATGGGAGAGAATGATAGATAGATTAAAAGAGGAATTCAAATAATGACAAAAATTGAAGGAGAATAATCAATATGAACAGGGAAGAAAAGGTAAAGGAAGGCAAGTAAAGAAAGAAAAAGAATGAGAGGAAAGCAAGGGGAACAAGAAGTACAAAGGATGGATGATAGAAGAGGGGGAGTAGGGTTCATTTTGAAAGATAAAGGGAGAGAAAGAGAAGAAAATAAAGAGAAATAGAGAGAAAATTAAGAGGGGGAGGAAGGGGAGAAGATGTCATGAAATGAAATGATAGATAAGGAAGAGAAAGAAATCAGATAACTATGAGAAAAATCCAGATGCATGCACAGACTCAAGATTCATGCACAGATTCAAGATACGGGTAAAGGTTGAGAGAGAATTGTCCCGGCATAAAGCACATGGGTGGGAAGTATCTAACACATGAAGGTAATGCAAGCTGACATGTTTTGAACTTGTGTCGGGGGCTTTTAAGGGCAGTCAGAGGCTGGCTGTCAAGTCTGTGAATTGTCTGCGTTAAGCCAAGGAAACGCCCTTGCCAGCCCCTCGGAACACTAAAGGGAAAACAAGACAATGCGGTTTACCCTAGGAAAACTGAAAGGGATTTTTCTTTACGATCAAACTTATTACATCAGGGTTGATTTTTAATGCTGATATATATCACAGATTCCTGGTTTTACCTGATTTGTAGCTTGATGAGATAGAATGGTATTGGTATCTATTTAATGATGTTTGTTTTTCTGTTGTATGCAGAAAACCTAAATTTTGTATTCTTTCATCAATATTCAACTTCAAACACATTTGTTTGAAAATCCTTGCAGAAATGTGTCTTAAATGACATCCTCTTTCACATTATGATACAATTTAAGTGAAATTTTGCCATCAAATTTGTTGGGCTCCCAACACTCTAGAGGAGCTTTGAATGTACTACTACAACAATTGTCATCATTATTGCAGTCACTGTAGCATGGAGGGAATTATTGGAAATAAGGAGAGAGTGAAATTAAAAAAAAGGAGGGGGAGGGGGTTGAGGGGAGGGGGTTGAGGGAAGTGCAAGATAGAGAGAGTTTAATAGAGGATGAGAGGGAAGCAGAGAGGGAATAAGAGAAATAGAATGGAAGGGAGCAGTTCATGAAAGATACATGTAAATGGGAGAGGAGAAAAACTCTGTACTATTCCCAGTTACATTTATAAACTTTCGAGTGGAGGGTTTTGCTATGCAATTCATTTTGTAAGATATTTCCCCTACCTTCTTTTTTTCCATCACAAAGGTTTTCCAGCTGCCCTTGGGTCTCAAATATGCATGTCCTGCCCCTTCGACATGGAAGCTTGCAGTACAGTGCCTACTTGATATCCTACATGTGGGACTACCGGTGGCCAGGAAAACGGAATTCAGCGCAAAGTTTGAAGACATGTGGATGGACTTGGCTGCATCGCTTGAATTATTCCTCTTCTCAGAACAGTGAGTGGCAGTATGATGGGTTAGAAACTGGATCGTGATGAGGATGGCAATAATACCGAGGAGAAAGAGGCTGATGGTGATGGTGATCGTGGTGGTAATGGTGATGATGGTGATGGTGATGGTGATGGTGATGGTGATGGTGATGGTGATGGTGATGGTGATGGTGATGGTGGTGGTGATGGTGATGGTGATGGTGATGGTGATGGTGATGGTGATGGTGATGGTGATGGTGATGATGATGGTGATGGTGATGGTGATGGTGATGGTGATGGTGATGGTGATGGTGACGGTGACGGTGATGGTGATGGTAATGGTAATGGTAATGTTGGTGATAATGATATTGGTGATGGTGGTGACGGTGGTGGTGGTGATTGTGATGATGAAGATGATGATGATAGAAAAAAAGTAGCGGAGAAAGTTATTTTTGTGATTATGATGATTGATAAGGAGAAGGATGACAGTTAAGATGATATTCACAATGATGATGGTAATGATGGTGGTGGTGGTGGTGGTGATTGTGAGGAGAAGGAGAAAAGTTTCTTCCTGCAGCCCATTCATAACATCAATCATCCCATTCTCTTTCCCCAGCCCTACACCCTCCACCCTTTCAGTTGAGGAGCAGCAGAAAGATGAAGGCATGGATGTGAAGGTCGTGCTCCTCATACGGGAGGAGATTCTACCTTTCTCATCTAGTGTTCCAGAGCATTTTACAGCTCGCATCATGGCCCTCCTCAATAGAGGCTCTATCCACTCAGCTAGCACAGCAAGCTTCTTAGGTGAGATTGTCAATCACTAAACACAACATTTGGTGAAAACTACAAATTTCATGAATATTATGTGATCAATGTCATTTTTGAAAAACCTATTTGATTAAAATATTCAGTCTTTGTGGCCGTTTCTATCGAGAACCATGGGTAACCATCTGTTATATTGAAAGAATAATTATTTGTTTTAATTGTTGTTGCTATTTTAGACAAGCCTGATGCTAGCAGTTAAGTTATGAGAGCAACATTTGTCTGAGAAATATGCAGCCATATTAAGAAGAAAAAAAAGATACACACAAAAGCAGTTCATGCTTTCTCCTCTTATTTGAAATTCACTTTCATTATTTAATGATCGTTTAGGTTACTTCACATTTTAATGTCATTGTGTACACTCTAACTTTTTATGAATTTTTTTTGGACATGTTCTCCGCAGATGTAGACAATCGTCAGCTACGAGAGGAGTTTGCCAAGGCCTGCTTCGAGACCCTTCTCCAGTTCTCTTTCATCTCCCAGACGAAACCTCTTAGAGATGCAACAGACGAGGGAGCCCTTACCAAGATGGCGCTGGCTTCTTTGCTCCAGCGATGCCAGGAAGTGCTCAAGAAGTATGTGGAAGATGAGAGGCTGAGTGGGAAGTGTCCTCTTCCAAGGTTAGATGAATTGCTTGTTTTTTTTCTTTCCTCAAATATTTGTCCCTTAACCCATTAGCAACTAGAGATTTTGTAAAAATGGCCTATTACTCACTGGAAGATTTGTCAATATTGCTCTCATCTCATTTTGACATTTTTCTGAACAATATGAAACATGCACTATTTTTCTATACAGAATCCTACTGTAGACATCGTAAGGATTACGCACGTATAACATCATAACAGTAGACCCTACAACGGAAACTATAGTGCGTTGAAAACGGACGGGCGGTTTCGGGCGGTTCAGTGAGTAAAGGATGTGCGGTTTCGGGCGGTTTAGTTGCTATTGGGTTAACAATATTTATGATCGGCGTTCTTCTCTGAAAATAAAGTATTACAATAGAAATTGCTCATATCTCACATGTGTTACATACTCTTTTTCAAATAAATTTCAGATCCAGAATGACTGAGATGTCCTTCGTCTTACAAGCTGTCACAACACTGATGCAATCCCTCAAGAAAGCTACTGCAGACAATGGTATGTACAGCTGTCCATCCCTTCTCTCTCTCTAACAACTTTGCGCAGACTCCACATGCTTTCTGGCACGTAATTTACAATATTTTGTAAATTTCCAAAGTAATTTACATTTATTCTGCAGGGCTCAATAGTTACTGGAGCCCCTGCATATTGAAACATGTATGTATGTCCATCTTGAAAAATTCTATTAATGCTCTCTATGCTTATTTAAAGGTAAAGACCAGTATTGGAAACGCCCCAATTTCAAAAAATGAAATGGAAGCTCTCATTACCAATCTTGTGAAAGAATATGTTTTTACTAATACATGATGATAAAAAAATTTCCGGGAAACCGCCTACTAATTCATATATTTGGTAAATTTGTTTCTCTCATGGTCTGTGAGAGATATAGGGTAGTCCCATATACATCTTTCTGTGTATAGCGCTTGTAACTTTACGAAGAATGGGCCAAATTTCTTATCATTTTGATGATTCCAGAACCTTGCAGATGCTAGATGCTAGATCATCAACCTTTTCTGATTGATTCCACAACGTTTCTTTCACAATGCAATCACATGACCATTACTGCTCTTTACCTTTAACTCTACCCTGCTCCCTCTGGCCTCTTTCACTCTCTACCATCTTATCTCTTGATTTCCTATATATGCAGTTGACCAGAGTACATGGAGCCAGGTGATCGGTCTCTACCCATTCCTTGTGGATTGTACGACCTGTACGTCGTCACAGGTCTGTAAGGCACTCAAAGAAGCCCTCTATCAGTTCCAAGAACTCCTCGTAGCACCACATCCTCCTACCGGGATGGTGAATGGAAAATGATGATCAGTCTCTACCCATTCCTTGCCGATTGTACCATCTGTCTCTAAGGCACTCAAAGAAGACCTCTATCAGTCTCAAGAACTCCTCGTAGCCCCTCATCCTCCTACCCGGGTGATGAATGGATGAAAAGTGATGATGTATCCTCTCCGTTATTCAACATCTAATGAATTATGCCTCCATTTGGCATTGTTCACCAGGAGAGAATGAGCTCAGTTCTCATCACTCTGTAACAGAGATTGAGATTTTTGCAGATTTTATTGACAAGAGGCCTTGGATTCTAAGAACCTGTCAAGGATTGTTTCATTAATCGACTAAAATGGAAGTATTCCGACGATCAGCATTTCGGAGGTTATGATAGCTGTCCACGGGCTTAAACCCTAACCTGTGGGCCAACAGGGTGTTCGTTGGTTGGCAATTATTCCAACCCTAAATCCGCTAGCATGACTACCAGGCTTGACTAGGAACCTCTCATGTGGAGTGGCTCATGTTTTAAAGCAACAAACTCTAAACGTAAAGAAGCCAAAATAAACATCACATGTGTATCAGCTGTGTATGACGTATTTGGATCATACATAACAAACAGAATGACGGATATCAGTTTACGTTTTTGTATTGAGTTGACAGCATTACTAGAGGATAGACTTTCTAGTATATCGAGCAAAGTGGTACATTTTATATTGATTTGTTTTCATTATTTCATTGTCCTGCTTTACATACTTGTATCAGACTCAAAATGAATAAATACCATCCCCTTTGACAGAATGATAGTTATGCAAAGACCCCTACTAGCTTTTTTGGGAGAAGAATCATTTGAATTACAAAATAATTGAAATTGAAAAAAGTAATTGCTTGAAGCCCTCGTACCCTACCATTTCAAGATAATTTCAAAGATTATGAGGACTGTGGTTATTTCCATGTGAAGTGTCATTTGATGATTAATAGATATTAAACTAGTACTACAGAGCTGTCTTCATCTCCAATATGTAACAATATGCTGCATGTAAATGCTGACTAGTTTCTCTTAGTTTATTTTGGTATTCTTTGTTCTGTGTTGTTCCCTCTTTGTCGGCAGGGTTTATCATGTCGCTTTGCTTGACTTAGCTCAGTTAGTCATTATTTGATTGAATCGTCCTGAAAAATCACTCTATTTTTCAATAATTTTTGTAAAATCTTGTTCCTATTCGCTCTTTAAAAAGAGGTTATTTGTTAAATTGCATAATTTACTCAATGTACATGATACATTGTATAGAAACATTTGCAAGACTGAATCAGTGATTAGATAATTACATCAATACTTTTATCCAACCATGCTCAAATTTTTGTCAGTAATCCTGATTATGTATATTATATTTACAAATGTAGTGCAATTTTATGTTGATGTGTATATGAGTAGATATATAGGTTTGGAGAAAGGACGTGCAAGGAAGTGACTTTGGATGTGCTATTATTTGTCTCATGTTAAAGTAACTGTGGTGAGAATTATTTTTTATGTGGTTCCATACGTATCAAAGTATTCATTTGATTTCAAGGTATGTGTTGTATTATGTTGTATTAATTATGCATGTTATATATCAGAGTATATGCTATATATCCCCTTTGTTGACCCAACATTGAAATACTAAACATTCCTTATTCTATCCCCCAACTGTTGGTGTGTGTGTGTTTGGTTTTTACAGACATTTATCAATCAGATATGATCATTTACGTCTGGGGACCGACCTTTAAACGTCACCATCCTTGGCTGAATCAGCTTGTAACTTCCATTGTTAGCTGGAATACAGGCGCACGCCACAATGCCCAGTTTAAGAGGGCCCTGTCTTATAAAGAGTTCCAATTGATCCAAATTTATGACAAATCCTGCAAACTAACAAACTCCAATCTCAGAGCTGTAAATGTTTTCTTTTTTATTTGAATTGATCACAATTGTTTATAAGACAGGGCGGGCCCATGTCACCTGTCCCTAAAACTAAAAACCATATTTGATGACAAAAAAACTATATGTTCACTTTTTTTTAAAGATATAGAATGATGAAAACGTGAATAGGATTTAGCAAATGGACTTGATAGTATTTGGTCTGTTATTTCATTGTAATATTTGCATACTTGATTCATATATATGTATTCCAAGATGAGTTTCCCTTTGTTAAAGTTTACTTCTTAAGGCCCATATCTTTAACTTCTCTAGTCAGACCTAAAATTGATTTATTTCTTTATTGGCTGGTTTTGTACTTTTTTGAAGAAATTCATATTTTTTTCAGCTCTGGTTAAATTTTTCATTCATATATATGAATTGTGAATAATCTAGGAGTAAACTAACCTGGCTGGCAAGAAATATGTCGGAATATCCCCCTAACTTGTATAAATTACAGTTAGTTTTTTAGCATAAGTATATTTATATATAGCTAATTAATTTTCCATCCGTATTATTGAATTTACAATATTTGCATTATTCAGACTTTAGGGAAGGGGTAAATGACCTCCCCTTTTCCCCTTCCGTGCCCCCTTATATACTAAACAAAAGCCTAATTTGAATTCCATATTAGAGGTCTAACCTGTTCAGTCGTATCTACAAGAAGATGTAGTTTGAACAATTTTCATTTTTTTTCTTCTATTTTTCAACCTTGTGTTTTCAGAGAATACTGGTATTACAGAGTAGCAGCAGCTATGTTTAGCTACACCGCTAGTGATAAATCAGTATTACATCTATCATAGTTTAATATTTTTCTAAAGATGGTTACCTCATCTCATCTTTTTACATGTCAGGTAATGATAAAAGGATGTAGAAGATATTGACATCCTTCCTACTTGTGGATACAGAATAAATGCCATCCATATCGAATATAAGTCTAACTGCATAGATACATATACCGCAATACAATATAAGTGGTATAAATGTATGTCTTTTTATATTAAACAATAGTTGTCTGTATTATAAAAAAAAATTAAAAAGGCAAGAGGAAAAAGGAGAAAAAAAGATGAGAAGGGGAGAACTACTGTGACTAACTATATATAGAAAATGTATAACTATAACAATATATAGACTTGTATATGATTATTATTTCCAAGTGTTTGCTAAAACTTGGACATTTAAAGGCTATTTTATGAGCACTATAACTGAGTAAGGGCATCATTTTCTGTATGCCATTTTGTAAGTTGAAAGATTTATTTATATACACTATGATATAAAGGTTTGAGGATGTTTTTGCATATATGTTATGTGCAACTCAGAGAGGTTAGGCAATTCATTTATATCAAGATTTTCAATTAGAATGAATTATCATGGTAAATGTATTAACAGAAATCTTACTTTGATTTGTGTACCCGGTACATTCATTTCATAAATAGTTCAAGGTGAAAAAATTCAGTTACAGAAATATTTAGCGATCTATTAGTGACATGTATAGAGATGTGACTTCTGAAGTCTCAGTAGTATTATTATTGTATTAGATCATTTAATAACATTTTGAATGAGGTTTGTCTAATAATATATATGTAATAAACAATGGGAAAACATTCTAATGAAATATACTGACTCAGATATTTGTTTTTTGTCTCTTCATTCTTATAATCATTTTTTGTTATACATTGATCTCTTTATTGTTATACATATGCAACTATATTTTGATACAACTCTAGAACTGAGGGGGGAAACATCACATTTTTAGAGGCACACTCATTCAAGCAAACCCTGACTTTTTCAGTAATTTTTTAAAAATTAAATAAAAACAGAAAATTTGTGGATTCTATGTCATGCCATACAAGTGTTGATTTGCACCAGCAGAATATGAACTAGTGAAGAAAAAAATTAATGAAAATCCATGTTCTCTGCAAAATACAACTCAAAATTTAGAGACTTTGTTCACCGTTGTAGGACCCCTTGAACTTGAGCACTGGACCCAATGCTTTACCTAACTCTATTCTGTATGACAAACTATTTCAGGAGTAAATGTCACATCATTGTTGACATATGCCCATATGGGTCATGACTCATGAGTATTATTGAGTAGCTCGATTTCAATAGAATATTTTTCTTTCTCTCATTCTCTCTCTTTCTCTCCCTCTCACTCTCTCTGTCTCTCTCTCTCTCTCTCTCTCTCTCTCGTTCTCTATCTCTCTCTCACTCTCGTTCTCTCTCTCTCTCTCTCTTTCTTTATACACCTGTGTTCTAGGGCACTATATATTCTCCAATATGAATATCTTTGTAATTCCAGACACAATAGACCAGTTTACCATTATATTCAAATTTTAAGGATACTTCTTGAACATAACTTGTCTTTGACAGCCATAAATGTTGCCTGACATAGCAACAATAAACAGACCATTTAAAAAATGCATTGGAATTTGTTAAGTTAGCTATAATGGGCTATTACATTCACCTGTTCAAATAATTATATTTCAAAAGTCAGAATGTAAATTGCACACATAAGGTGTTGCTAGGTTATACAAACCTTACAACTTGTAATATAATGCGATTTGCACTCAGAATGTTGAGGAATATATCCATTTCATTGGATTACATTACGAAAATAGCCTTTTCTTGCAAGATGAATTTCATCAAGGATTTCCCTCCATGTAATTCTATGACACATAACAGGTGCTATAAATATTTTCAAAATTTGAATACTTTGAATACTATAGTAACTCTAGTCAAAATGGTGTGTTTCCTTATTTGGTTCTGTACTCGAACCTATTATACACAAATAAAAGCAGTTTTTCTACCCTTTTGTTTCATTGACAAAGAAGAGTGGGCTTTCACTCCCTGTGGAACCCCATGCCACTGTGCCTGGTATCTCCATATACGCATTTTATTTATTCAAAGGGATAGACATTGTTGTGCACGAGAGCATACATTTAACAATGGACTCTCTTCCATTCCATACATACCAGCTTAATGAGGTCATCCAAATAGAGAGAGAAAAGAAAGAGAGTGAGATTCCTACAACGGTATTACCAATTCCCGCCTAATCAGATGTTTGGGAATTAAGTTTGATCTAAATGCCCTCTGTAGGATGGCTTTGTATAACAAAATGATGAAACAGTACGAGATTAGGCTCAAGCGAGGCAAAAACATCCTGTTTATGTCAGACTCAATTGACGTTTTAAATGAGATTGCTCAGCCTCAAAGGATGGAAAAACAACACATTTTGGCAGTTGACGATGCGTTACTCATCTCCCCCGCTCTTCTCTCTCTCTCTCCATCTCTCTCTCTCTTCATCTCTCTCTCTCTCTTTCTCTTCCTCTCTTCCTCTCTTTCCCTCTCTCTCTCCTGTCTCAGTGCCCTTCAGCTACTCTCCGATTCCATTTATCTCTCTTTAAATTCATCGTTCTGTCAACTTGTCTGAACATTCATTTATCACATTTTTAATGAAAAAAATTTAATTAAAAAAAATCTGATGTATAACTTTAAATGCCTCAAAATCAAGGGAGTGCAAAAATCAAAGGAGTAACAAAGGATTTAAAAAAACTGTCCATATATGTCATGCTGTCCTGCTGTTCAAACTTCCTGTAATTTGTTTGGTTTCTTAACCACAAACATGTACAGGCATTCCATCACCTTCCGAAAATACACTCATTTGTCTGAAAAGTGGGTAGCAAAATCCTTATATCATTCAGATTCTTAGCATTATTTGGCACTATTTTACGAATGTATTAAGTTCCCATCAACCCTACCCTCTTTTCTCTTTTTTGCCTTGTTTAGGTTTATAATGTTTTGCTTGTTGGTTTTATACTCATTTATTCCCATTTCCTAACCATTAGTGAAAATAACAAAACAGGTTTTGTATACCATGTACCACACCCAAATATATACATGTTATACACAAGCTTCAAACATATCCCTTGAGTACTCATGAAAGGTACTCTGGTTCAAGTACGTTCTGGAAGAAAAAAACAACTTCTGTCATTCTATACGAGTATATGACTAATCCTAATCATATACATGTACTTATCTGACAAAACAATATTGAGTGGCAACACCCAACAACAGGATGTCCTATTCATTTATGGTTAACACACAAACACACTCACCATGACAACAAAACAAAACATAGAATATTATTTTGTATCAACAATTTAATGAATATATTTTTTTTTTCTTTTTTGTGTCTTATCTACAACCTCATAATATATTCATAACCATCAAATTTCACCTTCCAATATATGCATACAGTATATACAAATCACCAAAGTGATACATTGATGCTCTTTGTAACAGCAAAATGTTTTGTGAAGACTCATGGAAATTTGAAGGCATTGAAATTTGAAAAATTTATAGTGATTTTATTACAAGTCTGGACTTTTGACGGTAATTTGAAAGACAATATAAGTGTTATCATTGGAGCTTACAATTGAAAAAGATAATGACAAATAATTGTATTAATAAATGCATCGACAAGACTTGTATTGGGTAATAAACATGCCTTCTAGTTATGAACTTTTGAAAAATTGAGATCACTGCATGACGAGTTGACGACCTCCCTTCAGCTAAAGTCTTGTGATTTGTCACCAATGACTTGCGATAATTCAATATATAGTACATGTACATGACACAAATTAATCTTGTACTAATAACAGATAATGACTTGCGATAATTCAATATCTAGTACACTGTACATGTACAATTGTACATGACACAAAATAATCTTGTACTAAAAATCTACAATGTACATATACATGTACATGTAGCTTCACAGTGACATGTTCATGTTTTTGCATTTTAAGGTCACTCTTCGCTGCTTAACAGTATGACATTGAGATCCAAAAAGTACAACAAAAATTGAATTACCAACTTGTACCAAGGCACTGCATCATGAAATAGAAATACTGAATAGGGTATGAGCTCGAAGATCAGGGCCCTGTTTCACAAAACTTGATGTCAATAACTGTTATAAGCTACTAAAACCGTATGATCGGCTTAAGGCAAATTTGTTATTGATAAAAAGTTTTGTGAAAAAGGGCCCAGATGCAACTTTTCTGTCTCTTTGGTGACTTTTTTCATCCTGCACACAAAATATTGGAGAATACTTGTACATGTATGTACTGTATGTACATTTATCGCAGTTTGTCAAGTAATTGAATCTGCTAAAACGTGAGTAAGTTTGTCATTCAAGATCTCTGATTTACATTTTATTAATTTTTTTTATTAATTGCTAAATGCATCATAATGTTCAATGCCATACATGTATGTACATTCACTATGACAATCTTTGAAGCAGTTGTAGTTTTTTTTCATACGAGCCTTGAACAGTTTGAGACAAATGGAAGAAAACCAAAAAGGCACCAAGATGCAGTCATCTTCCAACACATAATGTACACTGTATATTGTATAGATTACACTCAGATCATGTTTCCATAGTTACCATGTACTGTGTATTTGTAAACTTCACAACAAGGAAATAGAAAACAAGCAAAAACACAAGTGAAAGCGTTGGCAAAAGAAATCCCCCTTTTTCACCTCTTGGCAATGTAAAGAACATACACCCATCACAGCTGAAAGAAAATGTACAAAAATTTCACCTCCCAAAACCCTGAATAATTTCTTAACAAATTATCAATTGCAAAAGTTACACACAATAAAATCTCATGATGGCATTTCAGTTTGAAAAGGCACATTGTGAAAAAAAAGTATATCATGTTTTAAGAACAAACATTTTAATAAGGCAATTTTCTGAAGGTCGCTTCATTACAAAATAGGCACACTTGAAAAGGATGTCGATCTCTCTCTCTCTCTCTCTCTCTCTCTCTTTCTCTCTATCTCACACACACTTACACACACACACACACACACTTAATTTACAAGAATATGCCATTCACAGTAGCTTTTTTAGCTTATTTCCATAATGCTCTTGTTCAGTTTGTATTGCTTAGTTTCAAACATGAAAGCATCCACAATCAATTCCATAAGTATTACGAAGTGAATCACCATTAAAACTAAGAATCCTAATTAACTTTGGAAACTGGAAAGTGGAAACTGGAAACTGGAAACTGGGAGGAAAACAAACAGAGCCTTTCCTACATTTATACTATATACATGTACATACATTCTACACAACTTTTGTGTAACTTTCTTATGAATTACCATTTCTTAAGAAAAATACTAGAGCTGTTGCAATGCGTTGTTGTCTTCAGGTATGCATACACATATCGCCTACTTGAATGAGCCAGAAGGGTCCTAACTTGTATCCTTTTTATACTGGTATGGAGTTTACTCCCTTCTGGCTCTGGCTCTCCACAGGGGATAATCATTTTAAATCAAGACAAAGAAGAGAGTAAGCAACAGAGCATAATTTTGACTAATGCCTCAGTCACACCTTTGCGTATTGACTTGCATACATGTATTGCTGTGTATTTATGGCAAGCCGTTTTGACGTTTATTCCTATTTCTCGATATCAAGAATTACCATTGCGTTACAACGGATAATCATTCCTTAATATCAAGAATTCATTTCTTGATATCAAGAAAAAGGAATAAATGTTAAAACGGCTTGCCATGAATACACAGCAATACGCCGGCCAAATACGCAAAGGTGTGACTGAGACATAAGAGCCGAACAGGTGTTGATTCCCTCTCATAAGAATATGTTTGAAAAAGGCAATAACACCCTTCTGGCGCTCAAAAGACAATATTCAGTGTTCCACAACAGAAATAATTACAAATCTATATTGCATATTTAGTGCTTTACTTTATCACATCATGGATGTGCATTAAGCTTGACTGCTTAAAATGATAAACAAGACTTATTTCCAGGTACTAACTCAATTACTCAATATGAAACACTCATCCCAGAAAGAAAAGCTGTTCCATTTACTAGGCCTAATGTCTATTCTATTTATAAAAAAATTCTCTGGGTAATTAGACGTGGTAATACAGGAGAGCTCAGCTGGCCAAATTATCTCTACAAAGAAAATGGTTACATCCGCCTGGAGATGTACAGGGGTAAACGAATCTCAAGACACAAGCCACAAGGTGTAGCGGAGTTCACAAACTCATGTGCGCGACCTTGGTATCTGAGGTGCCCGCGGGTTGCATCTTCAATGTAGAGTTACGTTGTGGTAAATGCATCTGGTCCATATGCTCTTCCTGCAATGTACACATCCCTCCTATGGTCTTCTTGAAATGTAAATTCCTTCATGTACAAGCTCACTTTATAGCTCAAAAGTTTACTGAAACATATGCCTTTTATTTAATAATAAAAGCTTAGTTTGACTGACATAGTTTGATCATTGTCCGATGTCTTCGAAGTTTAGAAGATCTTGCATGAGAGCTTCTTCTTGCGCTTCTTACTCTGCAGTGCTGCCCTTGTGGCCGTCTCAAAGACCTCCCTGACCCCGTCGTTGGTCTTGGCCGAGCACTCCATGTACTTGGCGGCATTGATCTTGACGGACATCTGGTGGCCTTCGTCGTACGTGACGGGGGTCTGCTTCGTCCGCTGCAGCTCCATCTTGGTGTTATCGTCGTTACGGAGGTCCTTCTTGTTACCCACCAGGATGATGGGCACGTTGGGACAGAAATGCTTGACCTACATTAGACAGGAAGAGATGAAAGAACAGTAATAAACAAAATTTCACAACTAAAAAGACCTCCCAGATCATTCTTTTTTCCCTTAAGTATAAATATGATTATAGTCATAATCAGATAAAGAAGTTGAATTCCCTCAACTGTGCTACAGTTGCACATCTACAGTTGTACATGTACCGTAGGTATCATAAAGAGTAGTTTCTTATATTTCTCATAAAATGAAAGAGATTACAGTATGTTAAGAAATTACAAATTGACCACCTCACTGCCTAAATATCAGTACCAGTCTGCAATTCTTAAATTCTTACAAGGGGGGGGGGGGGGGGGAGGAGGGCTACAGTCGACCCCAACCTACATGTACATGTACCTCAACACCTCACATACAAGTATGCATACACATGATTCACATATTTATATTTCGAGTAAAAATTGTAAACCTATAGGCTATAGTGTATTACAATTAAACCCTTTAACAATTTATTGATGCAAAGTATTTTGGGGGTCTTTACCTCTGGTGTCCATTTCTCCGGGATGTTCTCCAAACTGTCTGGGTTGTCGATAGCAAAGCACATGAGTATAACGTCTGTGTCTGGATATGAGAGCGGTCTGAGTCTGTCGTAGTCTTCCTGACCTGCTGTATCCCATAATGCTAATTCAACCTGGATAAAAGAAAGAAAGAAAGAAATAAGAACAAAGAGTTAGCTAACTTTTCATGTTAAATGATTTATTCCTTATCCCAAAAAATTTCATACAAGTTCATAACCAATAAACATGTATGTCTTGGACTGTCGGTCCCCCGGTTGCTTGCTTTACATGTACAAGACAGGTATAAACTTTCTTTAATAGCAGTCAGGTAAAACAAACAAACAACAAAAACAAAATATTGGAAATCATATACGTTTCTACACTTCTCTTTAGTTTTTCTTCCTTTTTAATTTTTCTTTTTTTCTCTAAATCATATTCTCATTGTATGACTCAAGGTTGAAAAGTACTGCTGTTTTTTCTTTACCTCATAATATGAGATAACTCTTTAAAAAAATAAAAGTACGTCAATTACTCATGCTGCATCAATTTTAGACAAAGACACATTCCAGCTGTATGTACACATGTATCTACTTTTGTAGCTGTCTAACATCTATATACAACTGTACTGTATATGCCCTTGATACGAGATACATGGATTAGTGTGTCATGGGTGTTGGCCACATACTGTAGCTCTTCCCACATGTGCTGTACCGACTATGAGTACCAACCCATGGAGTACAATCAATATCTTCACAGAAATATGTTCTAGTGACCTTCCATACTATTTTGTCTGCTGCTCCACAATTATTAGACTGTTTACAGACTTTCATACTATGCTGGAAGCCTTTGTATCTGTACAATACAATGTCTGTCTCATTTCAGAATACTCGAGGACTCTTTTAGGTACATCTGGACGTGTAAATTATTAAAACAGTTTTTGTAAGTTTTTTGTAAATCTTTTCTTTTCTCTGATCATTAATGTCCTTGATATTTTACTTCACAACTGCAGACAACTTTGTATGATAAAACATGTAATGAAGCCATACTGTACAAATGTGCATTGTTACAAACTGATCCATATCTCAGGGGTGATAGTGAGCACTAACAAAAAAATAGGTTTTTTGTTTTCCCCTCAACCACGCCCCCCTTGAGTAAAAAATAAAGAAGAGGATTCGCGGGGAAAAAATAGCATCTAACAACATTCCCCCCTTTCGAGTAAGAAAATTTGGAAAATTTGGAGAAAAAAATAGGGCAATTTTTTTTTTTTTTTAAATCGGGAAGAAGAAAAAAAATCGGAAAAAAATTGGGAAAAATAAAAAAAAATTGGGAAACCGATTTAAATCAGGTTTTTATCAGGCCTGATACCTATTACTCATCCTAGACATTTACATGTGTGTGTGGGTGAAGAATTGTGTTTACCGAAATCTGAATGGAGAGTCAACTCTTTTTATTTCGAAACCCTTAAATGGTGTATGAATCAGTCAGATTGGGTGTGTAAAGTGTACTCTACAAATTTTGACCATCCCCACCCAGGCACCCACTGTCTATCTCAGCTTATAAATCAATTCATTCAGTAGACAAACGAGCAATTGAATTTTTCAGATGAATAAGTTACTGCAGTATTACAATAGTTAGCTTGCGCTGAATCAACATGGATAGCAAATTCTGTATTCATGTACACAAGCAAGAAAATACTTGGCTCGAAAGTAAAAGGAAAATAGGGAGAAAAAATATCATGCATCAGTTATTTCTAATCTCATCTTGTGTGAATTTGAGGTATTTGCTTTAAAAATGAAAATGATTTTATCAATAAGCCAAAGGAAGTGCATGTACACATCTGTGAGTAACGTGGTTAGTTTCATGTGATCGCCTTTCCATGACTCTATAGTACCTGTATAATATTGTACAAAGAAGTTATGAACACAACCTGTATTCATTCCATGTTTGATAAGCACTCAGCATGCAATGTAAATTAGCTTTCAAGGTCTTTAATTACCAAGGTTCAAGTAGCAAGAAAACTGGACCTTATTCACCACAGTCTGTTTGTGACAGCAAGCATGAAGCCAGTGAAGATTCCAACAAAGTGAATGGTCCCATTACAGTAGGTGAATCACAAGTGCTGGTTTCGTTTTCTTTAAAGATTCTTTTTTCCTTCTTTCTTTTTTGAAGATGAAACTGTTCTCATATACTTATTAATTTATTTACCAATAATTTCATTTGCAAAGGCTACTGGGTACTTTGAAACCAAACTAAAATTTGGTTTTACTTCTTTTCATTTGTTTGTAATGATTTTATCATTGAACATCCCAACCCATTTGAAGACATAAAGTCTTATGAGACGTGATGGCTCAGTGGTAAAGCAGTGGTCTTATACATGTAGCTAGGAGGTCGAAGGTTCCAACCAGGTCGATCCACCAGCACTTTTTTTGTAAAGCCTTTAATCATAAATATCAAATTGTCAAGTCCTTTGGATAGCCTCACAGCTGGGCATTAACATGTACCATGTATGTTACAACGACCATACATGCAACTTACATGTCTCTCCCTGGTAGCTTTCATACATACAGGTACATGTAATATAGACCTACAGGGTGTACTTGTTTTGATAGCCATTGGGTAAATTAAATTAATCAATTAGATACAATTACTAATCAACAGTTACTGGGGCTCTTTATCACTACATTTTTAACCTTTACTTAGTTTCATAACTTTAAAAGAAAATAAGAGGCATACATGTACATATCTTCCTTTACATTTTCAACATGAAATTGTTGAATGTTGCCAAAAGTTACGATCACTTTCCAAGCAACAATATGTGCATGTCTGTGTGTGTGTGTCTGTGTGTTTGGAATAGACTGGTTAGCATTTCCAGACACAAACGCAGAACGACTGGCGATCATCAAGAACAGGAACCCGGTTTGAAGAATGAGGAAATGGTGATTGACGACCCAAGCCCAACCACTTCCTCCTTCTTATCTCAGCAATGATGTCTTCTGGGTTATACCCCTATCCCGTCTTTCAGACTGACTTTCAGACCGATTCCTACTCTAATACTGTTTTCACACTGGCAATATTTTGCTTAACCCCGTACTATAGGTGGGGTTAAGGGGGGGTCTTAGCCCCACCTATAGTACGGGGTTAAGCCTATTCCACTTTCTGTTCAGACTGGTTTTTACCAAAGTGGGCTAAAGTTGGCTAACCCCACCTATAGTACGGGGTTAACTAACCCTGCAAAATAGCAGGGCTAACTCCGCAATTGTGGTGCTAACTCCTGCTAACCCCGCAATTGCGGTGCTAAGCAAATGAATGAGAACAGAAACGAAAAATAGTCCGGTACTACGCAATGGAGCGTATCGCAGCTGGCCAGATGCGAAGTATGTCCAACATAACATACACGATATCCGGGGTTAACGAAATGCAGTGAGAACAGCGGGAATTTTCTTATTCCGGAATAGGCGCTAGTACGGGACTTAAAACAGCGAGTGTGAAAAGCCAAAAAAATAGTCCGGGGTTAAGGATAGTACGGGGCTAAGCAAAGTACGGGGTTAAGCAAAACCAGTGTGAAAAGAGTATAAGAACAGCAGTTTACACGTACATGTAAACTGTAATATAATCTGGTGTGTATTTAATTTATTGATAACATTTACTGACAATACTTGCAAATTACACAAAGTACGGTCTAAAGTACACAAATGTGGATAGACAAAACATTTAAAGTTTGTTAACATACATGTACATGTACACACTGACAAGTGTAACATGGCTTTAAAATGTACAATGTATGTATTTACATCATGTTTTTGCTCGACCTTTTATTTCACCCTTCATTTCGCAACACTAAATAGCCAAACTACATACTGTATGAGAGAGTTTAAATCTTGTAGCTTCATGTGCACTTTTCCATTGGACTAAAAAAAAGCAGTGTACAGTACTACATGTATGTTAATGTGCATTGTGCCGTTAATAAACTTCATAGTATTTTCAGTTCTCACCTCCCTGTTGTGTCACACCTTTATTATTGATTTCTCTTTGTTAGCAGTACAATTTCCTACATACAAATAGAAGGGTCTGTATGTGTGTAGAGATGTGGGCGTTTATACTGTATGGTGTAGGTGGTATGCAAGTTTATATTCAGCCAGTGATCAGTTCTTGTGTTATGCTATGATTCATCAAGTACAGTTTATGATTTATCATATCGATATGATGTATTTGATATATTTGCTGTGTAGTGTGTAGTGTGTACATATAGTGTAGGTTACAGATTGCTCACACCCAAATTGGTCAGATTTGGTCAGACATGCTACACTGTATACAGGCAAACTGTCAGACTGAGTTTGAGGGATGGGGCAAATGTTGAAATGGATTCAGAACTATTGCTCTAAAGCAATGACAACTTTGTCAAGGAAAGAGAAAAGATGAAAAAGTGGAAAAGCGGAAGTTTATGAGCTTTCTCAAAATGTACGATAATTGTATAACTACGGTAGTGAAAATTTATTACAGCAAAATAATGTACCAATCTTTCTTAAAAATGGCTTAATTTGCAGTCTTATAAAACAAATGCATGTTTTACATGTAGGATCTATTTTACATTTGATGGTGTTAACCTGTTCATGCACATGAACATTTACAGACTAGAGTACAATATGTACATTAACTGCGTTAAGGCTGCAACGGGTAGTCGAATGCTGGAGTACCCGCATGGTTGACAACTACTCGGGTACGATTTCTCGTACCGAATATTCGGCCGCAAAAAAACAAAAAAATGTCCAGGCCCACGCTTACCCGTGCCAGGGAGAGCGGCGGCCGCTGGCATGGTACCGTCGGTTAAAATGTTTCCCAACTCAAGCACTGTCAAACTCACCTTTCAGAAACTGGGACCAAATGTCCAGATTTCTGTTTGGACAAAAATGTTTGGAGGAAAATGGATTATTCTGCCATCTTTGATTTTTAAAACAAAATTGTTTACTGTTATTATTCTTATTAAATCGGCGCCTTCAGCTGCAACTAAAAGTAAAATTGCATTCGTTTTCGGCGAGGGACCTGGGAAACTGCCGAGTGGTATGGTAGTGGCAAAAAAATCAAAAAAATCTAAAAATCTAAAAATTCAAAAAAAAAATCAAAAAAATTCAAAAAAATTCAAAAAAATTATAAAAAAATTATAAAAAAAAACATGGCGTCCGTATATTTGAGTATTTGCTTGTGAGCCTGGGAGTGTACTCGGGTACCTCATTACACTGTTGTGCACATCCTTAAACTGCGTACTCCTGGACAAAGTGAGCATCCCCCCTGCCTCTCTCCATTGATCTTCAGCTGTACCCCTAGCCAGATTCAAGGCCCAGATTAGGTGGTTCAAGAAACGGCCAAATATTTCTAGGTCAGTGGCAAGTTCATTTGCCTGCAGTAACTAAGCCACACCCAAAACAACAAGTACACTGGGTGTGCAATGTATATGTGTATCGTAGGTTGTAAAGGCAGAGACCCCTGTAAAGTCAGACTGCATGAACAATGGAACTACATGTACATGTACAGTACATGTAGGTATGGGAGGAAATGATTCTACAGTACGATTTGACTTGAAAGCAAAATGAATTAGATATCTATTATCTAGATGTATAAGTGGAATAAGAATAGAAAATAAATGTAAGTGAAGGTATTCTGAAGTCTGTGAGTAGTGAGTACATGTACAGTACATGTACATGTGAGTATCCACTTTTGGCATTATAAAAAACTGTCTGTAGAAAGCATGTACGGTAGTAGTTTCACAGTAGGCCTACATTTACATGTTGTTAAAGGTAAAGACCAGTTATGGTCATGCGATTGCATTGTGAAAGAAACGTTGTGGAATCGATCAGAAAAGGTTGATCATCTAGCATCTAGCATCTGCAAGGTTCTGGAATCATCAAAATGATAAGAAATTTGGCCCATTCTTCGTAAAGTTACAAGCACTATACACAGAAAGATGTATATGGGACTACCCTATATCTCTCACAGACCATGACAGAAACAAATTTACCAAATATATGAATTAGTAGGCGGTTTCCCGGCAATTTTGTTATCATCATGTATTAGTCAAAACATATTCTTTCACATGATTGGTAATGAGAGCTTCCATTTCATTTTTTGACATTGGGGCGTTTCCAATACTGGTCTTTACCTTTAATACACAAAGTTTGGCATTTAAATGCATTTTTCTTTAAAGGGCAATCCAAACCTTGTAATAAGCTTATTTGAATGAAACCAGAAAAGATCCAAGTACGTGTAACAGAATGGTGAAAGTTTGATATACATGTATGTACATGTACAGTGTACATGTTAATCTGACCAATCATACAAAGAAAGTTATGTTTGAAAAAAAAAGAGATCACTACAGATATGCGAATCTCTAATTGGCAATTTTGTCAGTGGATTGTGATGTACTGTATTGACGGATAACTCTCCCATTTGTTGTGTACAAATAATATCTCTAATTTCTGTTTTTCTCCCAAGTGTATTCTCCCAAGTGTATTCACCCTTGGTGCACTACTCAAAATATATTATGGAGAGTATATCATTACAGGTCCTCTAAAAGAAAAGATCATACGAGTCATACATTTTCAAAAAATGGAAATTTTAGTGAATTTGTGTGTTGGAACAAATGGGAAAGTTGTCCACCAAGTACATCATAAAGATATTACCGATTTAGCCAATTTGAAGAGCCCAAACTTAAAAAACAAAAACATAACTTCTCATTTTTTGTCTGATTTCATTCAAATTTTTACCAGTCTGCTTCTTGAATCTTTATGCAATTCTTTTAGAGTTTTTTGATATTAAGTTGGATTTCCCTTTAAACTCAAACAATATACAGTACATGCTCCAGCAGGAGTACAGCTCCTACAAACTTTTGGTGAGTTCAGAATTACAGTATAGGTGTAATGTGTCATTGTAAGAGACTCTTTTTAGTTTTTACTTGTTTTAGTAAAAATAATAGTATTGACAATAATGACCCACTGTACAGTGTTGAAGCTAGTCTATCATAACGTGGGCTCAAATTAATGTGAACGTACATTTGTACATGGCGGGGTATTCCCAAAACAGAACTTGTGGGAAAATATTATCCACAAACAAAGAACGGGTCTCACAGGTTATATTTACATAGGGGCGTATTTTGTGTGATTAAATGGAGACTTTGTCCGTGTGCATCGTTCCAAAAATGCTAGTGGGTGTCATTGTCTGAATTAAATTGCAGACTGGCATTGAGTTTGAGGAAATGAAACTTGAAATTTAATGAACACACAGACATCAAGTACATATACATGTACATGTAGATGTACATGCCTTGATATTTGATAAAAGATGTATGGAAGCTGCAGTATAATTGACTAACCCTTGACAGATAGATAAAGTTGTTTTGTACAGGTGGTGTACATGTATGCAAATCTGTTTTTAAGCATGTAAAAAAAAAAAAAATGCTTTCTGAACCATTCCCCCCCCCCCCAAAAAAAAAAAAACTTGATGAAGTGACAAACAAGATTATCAATGTGACCCCTTTATGTTAAAATTAAATTATGTATCACAAGTTACCTACATGCACATGTATCTACTACACCAATTACTATATTGCCCGATAGCATTTACCCTTTAATTTGTGACAAATCTATCCAGACATGCTGCCAACTTGCCAAGGTATGGTGCTGACCTCAGCCAACTCCACCCTTCAATGGTATGCATGGTATGTCAGCAATGCAGGAATGCGGGTAGGATAGGCAGAAAACAGCCCCTTTTTCATCCCCACTGTCAACTCATCCCATTGTTTGGGAACAATACATGGCATGTGTCCAACTGTCCAACAGGACTTACGGACGTAACTAACCATGGAATACATGTGTGTTGATATCACCAAAAGGTGAGTAAACATTCAAATTGACCAGTCATGTGAGATACATGTCTACAGCGTTAGTGAGTCCTGAATGACTTCTGTGAGTTCTGTCTGCATTCTGCACATTGTATGTACTAAAATGGGGCGGATATGAACAAAAACTAGACAAGTGGATTGACAGGCATGTAATCCTTTTCCCCAAGGAAAGATAATATAATTTTCATTGAGTATTCATCATAAATGAAAACATGAAAAGGTCTGTAATCTGAATCATTCCTGGAGAAGTGATTCAAGAGGAAAATGCTTTCCAATTTAAGTTCCTCATCATTCATCACCATGATTGTCATCACTCAAGTTTATTCATTTGAAGTGTTTATTTTACAATTACAGTGTACATGACTACATGTACCAGTATACATGTATACCAGAATTACCAGTACATGTATTTACAGACTACAGTCAAACCTGTCTAGTCTGTCTACAATGTGTAGCTACTACCCAAGGGAAACACAAAAAGTGGTCTTTGTAGACAGGTGGTCACTAAAGCAGGTTTGACTGTCTCTATAAAATGTACATGTACACTGTACATGTACAGTATATATGCATTTTTTTTCTGCATTTGATTTTTTCACTTTCTATTTTTCCCTTTGTCTGGTTCTGGATTATACTCCGACAAAGCGGGATCCCGCATCGCATCAGAGGGCTGACCTGGGGGTTGACCTGGTGGAATTATTTCTGTTTGGTGTTTGTGAAAAAATCGCAGAGCCTTTTCTTAAAAATATCTATGTTTGGGGCGTCTAGGATGTAATGAGGCAGGTCATAGTTTTGAAAAATTAAATAGAACTTAAACTGCAGTCATAAGTTGCATACCAGTGCAGTACAGATAAATGTAAAAGAGTAAAAAGACAAGACATTTACATTTTGATACCGGTACTGTTCCTTGCATGATTCTGTTCAATCATACATGGATGACTAAAATTGTTGAGTTAAAAAGTTAAAACAAATGATAGTAAGAACATCTCACCTGTTTGCTATCTACTTCGATATCAGCTACATAGTTCTCAAATACTGTTGGGACGTAGACTTCAGGGAACTGGTCTTTGCTAAATACTATGAGCAGACATGTCTTTCCACAAGCACCATCTCCAACGATGACCAACTTTTTCCTAATCGCAGCCATATTATTTTGTTTCGGTGAATCGGTAAAATCTCGCCCTGTGTGAGGAAAACGAAAAAGAAACATCATTTAACGGTTTATGTATGTACATGGACTGCCAACACATACAGTTGTAGGGTTAGGATTAGGATGAGAGATACACATGTAATATGAACTTTAATTTTAAATAAACAAATAAACTGAATAAAGCTAAAGCATGACATTTCATATACTGACCTCTATGACCCTCAACCTTTGACCTGCTTTACTGCAAAATCTAATTAGAAAGTCTTCCTATAGTGATTCATACTATCACCTTGTTTGAAGCTGGGCAGGGTTTCATGATCAAACCGTCATAAGTACAAGTTCACCGACATCCCATTGAAACGTGTGTTAAACTTAATGGATGTCTGTGAAATTGTACTTACATGTATGACGGTTTTGTGAGACGCTGCCCTGTACATTTACCTCTATTGTTGGTTCTATATCGCGATAGCGAGGCTACAATGTAATACCTGGAATTTCAGAAATTGACCTCAAAGACCATTGACCTACCTAATGTACATACTACATGTACATTGTACTTCAAAATCTAATGAGATAATCTTCCTATGGCGCACGAAGGAAGATGACGTCATCCATTGACAGCAAAGCCAACAGTTTAAAATAAGGCTGCAAGAATTTCAACACGGAGTTCAATTTCTAAGAAGAAAATCCAGAAAAAGTCCCTTAAATGCATTATACAGTCAATCTGGTAAGTGAAACCGATGTACATGTATACTAACCTAGAGTCGAGTCTAGATCTAGGCCTTATTTTCGAGAATAAATGCATCAAATATGAATCCGCTAAAATGAATTTCATGAATATATTAATGTGCTTTAAACTAGATCTAGAAGTCGAGATTTGAAACTGAAATGGAATTGACCACTTTTGATGATTTTGATGATTTTTAATGACTTTTGATGACTCCCTCCCATGTTGAAGGATTTGTCAAAATTGTTCATGCTGCCCCTTTTTATGTATAGAGTCTAGATCTAAAGAGTAGGCCTAGAGGGTCTAAAAGTAAAATGACATTTTCCTTATGTTTTTAGTCCAAAGTTTGGTGGCTGTTTTATTGACAGCAGACCCTATGGCCGGCTTCTGTCTCTAAAGATAGAAGCCGACCCTAAGAGGCTAACAAACGAAAGAGATAACAAAATTTGGTCTAAGGAGTCTCTAGGTCTACTCTAGGGTCTAGTTAAAGCAAGCGCACAGTTTTATTACTTTTTAATTTGCGAAGCATTTTTAATCAATCGCAACTTTTTACTTACAGTTACAACACAGGGGGCCGGGGGCCCTGATTAAGCATTAAAAGAAATACAATAGAAAATCCTTGTCAATTTCAAGTCAACATAATCAAGTTACACACACATGTAGATCTAGGTGAGCAAAGGTTGTGTAGTATCACACCATCTACCACCATAAATCTACCACCATGCATCGACCACCGCCACCGGAGATGGACCCGGTGCAGCTGCAGCCGATGACAAAGTCTAGGCAAATGCAACGGTAGTGTGTCTGTCCGCCCGGTGCCGTTGCACAAATCGAAATCCTAAACTTGCCTTCGACCTTCCGAAAAATTATTCGATAACACACATAAAGTATCAGCAATAAATACAAGAAAGTGCTTAAAACTCACCAAAAAGTTGCAACTGCAAGCTACGGGGCATCAAAAATATAATAGCTTAATTATTGTGCTCAAATTCTTGTGTTAAATCCAAATTTATCCGTTTGACAATCGAATCCATTAGCTGGTTCTGTACGCGTCTCTAGCTCTACTATGAACAACTCACTAGAGGTCGGTGGTATTTATACGTTGTACCCGTGCATTCTAAAAATAGCACCGGGATAGCTCTTTCATTGGTTGAAAGAGAAATTACGAAATCTTCCAAGTTTTAGCCAGTTTGAAAATAACAGAATAAAGATGTTTCTAATCACATTCACATCGATTGCGATATATTCTGTTTGTCTTTGATATAAGATCATTTTGCATGTAAAATATATGAACATCACTGGGGATTAGAACATTATAGGCCTAGCTCTAATTTAAAAGGACTTGTTTTTACATGTCTTCTTCATTTTAGGGTGATTAAGATAAGCCAATAAAATTATAAACTATTCAAACTTGGAAAAAAACAAATGAACAGTAGTTACAATCATTTTATAAGCAACAATAATGGAATATAAAAGTTTTTCTTTAAACACATAAAAAGGGGCAGCATGACAAATTAATTTGGACAAATCCTTCAGCATAGGAGAAAATCATCAAAAGTCATCAAAAATCATCGAAAGTGGTCAATTCCAATTTAATTTCAAATCTCGACTTCTAGTTAAAAGCACATTATTTTCATGAAATTCAGGGCCCTTTTCACTAAAACTTGATAGTGCTAAGTTCGATGACAACTTTACTAACAGCCAATCAAATTATCATCTGTTCATATCTTATAATATAATTCTATAACAGAGGGTCATCTTAAAAATATATAGATTGTGTATATTAAGAACAAACTTTCAAGTCCGAATGATTTTGCAAAATGAATAAAAAGTTTTTGTTTCCTTTCCATTTCTTCTCTGGGAGTTATGATGGAGAGAAACATAACTACAGAATTAAAAGCCATTTTAATAGGCTAGGCCAAAACAGACCGTAAATGGGGATTATAAATTTAATGTCATTATGCCCTAGGAGTTTCCTTGCTTACTTCATCTACATAATGTTATTCTTTACAAATATTGTGAATTGTATACACACATACACACATTTTTTGAACAATTTTAATTGTTGCATTTCAACTGAGAACAGGGGGATGGATGGCAACAAAATTAAAGACAATATGAAAGAACGAAATAGAATATTATTTTGACAAATTATAGATAGATAGACAATGATAATACCTTGAAGTAGATGTCAAAAAAGGTTTTTATTTTAATTTTAATTAAGTTCTAGATGTTATTGGGAGTGAAATATGATGTACAACGATTCTTCATCCTGATATTTTTTTCTTCATCCACAATTTATGGCTTTTGATTTTATTATGTTAAGCCCATTATTAACGTTTTCTGTATAAACATGCATAATAACGAAAGAAATTAAAAAAGCAAGAACTTTACTTAGTATATTATAACGGTTGAAATAGAATTGATCGAATGTCTAAGAATAGAACACAAAACTGCTGAAAACAGAATGGGTCATTGGGTGTGTATACCATCCAAGTGACTCATAATTTGTACAGCTATTGCAAGTAGGCTATAATACCAACTCCGAGATGGCGCTGTTCAAATTTTGATAAAATGTTATCGATAGTAATGTGGCATAGCGTGTCAGGCGAAGGCGGCGAGGGAACTCTGGGTGGTGGTGGTGGTGGTGGGGGGGGGGGGGGGGGGGCACCAAACTTGTCTATACGTGGAGTAGAGTAGAGTGCAGTTGAGGAGTACTCCATCCCGCCCCTACCCCCTTTCTGGAAAAAATGTAACTGACAACGTATACAACGCGTGATAAGTAGCGTCATTTTTTTAATTTTTGTAATACCCTTAGGCTCTCTGATATAATTCTCTCTCTCTCTCTCTCTCTCTCTCTCTCTCTCTCTCTTTCTCTCTCTCTCTCTCTCTCTCTCTCTCTCTCTCTCGCTCTCTTGATCTTCATGGTCAATTATCTATCCTGTCTTGTTATGATGCATACGTTTATGATGAGCATACACAATATAAAGATTGGAAGACCAGTCTTGATTTCTGTTATTTTCAAACTATCTAAACTCATAAAGTGCATCAAATGCTTTGTAAACCAAAATATTAGAGCTCGCCTATTTTTAGATCGCATACGTTGGGTGCAAAGGTATAAAAGGATTGTACTCAACCTCCTTTGTGAATTCGGGCCACGATGTTTGAATAGTGTCAACGGAACTGCAGGCCTAAACTTGAACATCATTATTTCCGTTCAGTCCCGGACTCCCGTATTATTACTATTTTATTGTGTTTGAAACAAGACGTACTCTAACTGTACTGCTAACATTGCAATCATGGACATGGGCTGATTTCCACAATTTTTTTCTCATTATGCCTTACATTACAACTTTTATTGGTGAGTATAGTAGCACTCATGAATGTTTCTTTCTGAATTTCACGAGGACACAAGTGTGATTTGAGTGAGGGAGGTTTGTAAATTAAGGGGGGGGGGGGTCATTGAAGCACGTATCGTTTAAGAGCCGTATTGAACTTATTCTGATGCTGTATCTCATTGTTGTTCCATCGTGCCTCTAAGCTTGTCTTCTTCTCCTCCTCCTCCTCCTCCTTCTCCTCCTCCTCTGTACTCTTTCTTCTCCTTATTCTTCGTTTTCTTCTTCTCATTCTTTTCCTCTGCTTTAGTTCTGCTTCTCCTGCTTCTCCTTTTCCTTCTACTTCTTCTTCTTCTTCTTCTTCTTCTTCTTCTTCTTCTTCTTCTTCTTCTTCTTCTTCTTCTTCTTCTTCTTCTTCTTCTTCGTCTTCTTCATTTTCTTGTTCTTCTCCTTCTTCTTCTGCATCTTCTTTTTCTTCTTCCTCTTCTTTTTTCTTCTCTTCTTTAAAGTTCTGCTTAATTCTTACAAATTATTATTCAAACAGATAAATCTAAACTGAGATTGAGATTGAGATTGAAAAGGTTTTATTGATTGCACTTCGCAGCCAGATGGCTGAATTATGAACAATTTACATTGGCAATGAATTATAATACATACAAATGTGGTTGACATTGTCACAAAGTATAATATACAGTATATAACAAAATTCATAACAAAGTTCATAACTAATATGACTAAGGCAATAACAGGCAAATTAATTCACGTTTAAAATATATTTTGTGAGGTGACACAAGAGTAGGTCAAAGGATGAGCAAGCAGGCCCTTTGCTCTTCAATACACGCTCTCATTCCTATACACGCTCCTATTCTCACTCCTGTACCTTGGACACTCTCATACAAACTCACATTTACACTCTTATACACACTCCCATTCACACTCCCATATACACTAGCTAACGGTCTGCTCGCTCATCCCTGGACCTCTCGTGTCAAGGAGTGTCGGGTATTTAAAAAAAAATAAACAACAAAACAAGTAAGCTCCTTCCCGACTTTCGTATATTGGGGAGAAATAAGCAAAAGAATTAAAAAACTTGAACACCATTTGATCTGAATTGCCATGTCATGATTGCTACAAAACCTTATCACTATTCAATGTACATTTTAAAAAGATGTTACAAGTAATTATGGAAGCATAGAATTTAAAATTTAAAATGCGGAATGTAAAATGTAAAAATGTAAAAATGTAAAAATGTATGCAGACAATGAGACACCGGACCATTCAACAGGTAGACAATTAAGATTCATTCATGCATTCAACAGGTCTATTAGGTATGGAATTGAGCTATTTCTATAGCGGTTCGTTTTACAATGAAATTGACGATACTTGGTCCTTCTTCGTAGTGAATAATCTACATTATTGTTAACAGGTAACCAATGTTTACAAAGTGGGTTGTTGACAAGAGATGAAGCAAAATTAGTGCATAATTGTTTGCGTCTATCTGACAGGGTCTGCAAAGAACACACTTCAAGAGCTTTGTCATAATTAATATATTGATCACCTAGTATGGTCCTACATGCTCTTTTCTGGATTCGTTCCAAACTTAAGATATGACTTTGGGTGAGGTTTCCGTTAAAAACAGGTACTCCATAATCCAATATTGGGCGAATATATCCCTTGTAAATTGTTACTAGATCACAGAAAGGCAATCTGTATGTTTTGAGAATACGAAGCATGAAAAGTTTTTTATTAGCACGGCATAAAAGGTCTGAGATATGACTGTCCCATTTCAAATCGGACTGCACAGTTATTCCTAAAAATTTTGCTTTTTGTACACTGTTTAAGCACTCATCCCCAATAAACAAAGGTCTCTGATCAGCTCTATTCTTAGAAAAAGAGATAAACATACAATGACATTTCGATGGATTAAGAGTCATGTTATTACGAAGAGACCATTGATAAAAATCAGATAAAGTATTTGGTAATTTAGATGGTTGTGATAATGTACGACTTTCAACTAATGTCAGATCGTCTACATACTTGAAGTATGGTACTTCTGAGTTAAAACAAGCATCATTTATCATTATTAGGAAAATAATTGGTCCTAATTTTGTACCTTGTGCTACACCGGCATGAGACGTTGACCAGTCTGAAAAATGACCAAGATATTTCACACGTTGTTGACGGTGTTCAATAAAATCTAAGATCCATGAAATAATACAAGGCCGAACATGAAGGTGGATTAACTTATTGGCAAGTATATTATGGTCTATACGATCAAAAGCTTTTGAAAAGTCTGTAAAGATAAGTGTAGATATGGACCGAGAATTTTCTGCATTTTTATAAATCTGGTGAAGCAAACGAATTAAGTGATGATTAGTTGACAGACCTTGACGGTTTCCGTATTGATTAATATCAATTTGAATTGAAATGTCTTCGAGTAACCATTTACATATATAAGACTCAGCTATTTTCGCAAAATAACTAGTTAGTGCTATAGGTCTTAAATTCTGAGGTATTACAGGCTTACATTTAGGAATTGGTGTGATCTCACATCGTTTCCACTGATATGGTACCACTGACAACTGGAAAGAAGTGTTTAAGATATCAGTAAGAGGTGTACAAAATTCCAGTGCAAACTCTCTAAGAATTCGCACTGGTAAGTCTCCACTTATAACAGACTTTTGTTGGTTTAACGAACTCAATTGTTTAAAAACTTCATAAGGTCGTACAATCGGACATGTTTCCTGGGCTGGTAAGTAAGCAGGTAAATTATTCCTACTAAGACCTGGAAGATCGGATGCCACCGCTAAAAAATGCTCGTTTATATAATTAGCAATATGTTTGAATTTGTCGGGGTCATTCGGGTCAATATTTGGTACTACAATCGGAGTATGTTTCTTTTCAGTATTTGTTAAAATCCGAATCTGCTTATACCAAGCTGCTGGGCTGTCACTTTTTAAGTTGCGAACTCTGGTGTTATAATATGAAATCTTCTGTCGTTTTATCAACCGTTTAACTTTGTTTCTAAGATGATGCCACAAACTTTTTGATTTGTTATTAAAAGCTTGCTGTCTTTGGCGGATAACATCTTTAACTTCAGCATTTATCCAAGGCTTATCTCTACAATGCAAACGAATCTCCTTAGTAGGAACATGTATATCCAACTGAGACTGAATTGTATCCAAAAACATTTTACATTTCATAGATGGGTCTTTTACACTGAACATCTCTGACTTTAATATACAGTATATTATATTTCAACACAAGCGTGACGAATATATAGGTAGGCCTAATAATAACTGCCTGGTGTTATAATTTGTGTTATTTTATTTCAGTGTTGAACTAGAGAATGGCTACTATCAGGACGGATGTGTCCATAGTTGGGAGCCAATGCGGGAAAACAAGTCTCCAAACTGCATTCGTCAAAGACAGATTCGACCCTCGAGATGTATACATCTCGAGGGCTGAAATAAGGGCAACGTCTTGCATAGAAGTAAATGGCAAAAAGGTACGTTTACACAAAGTCAATGCAGCTGAACGATGGAGAAGTCAGAGTATGAATAAACAAAACAAACAAAGAGATTTTAAAAAAAAATTGTCGATGGGTCTAGCCATTAAGGAGGCACTGATGCATGGGGGCGGGGGATGGGGACACTAGTCTATGTGGTGCAGGGGCGGATCCAGCCGGCGGCAGGGAAGGGGGCCCAATTCGCGCGTGCCGATAATTAGCTCAGTGGGGGGGGGGGGGGGGGGGGGTAGTGAGCACTCTTTTTTTTTTGGCCCTCGAAAATTTGAAAAATCGCACTTCCCCCCCCCCCCTTGAGCGCCAGGAGGGGGGGGGGGGGGCCATCTCCAAAAAAAGGGTAAAATTAATATGGTTTCCCCCAGGGGGAGGGGGCGGCCTCGGGGATCCGCCACTGATGGGGTGGATGCATAACACGCGAAAGAATAAGCCATCGAGCGTGGATGTTCGTCCCGTTCCTCGTCTCGCGCTCTCTTTGTCCTTTCCCACTTTTTTGGTGTCGGGTGGGGGCACAAGCCTTTGTGTCCCCCACAGCTGACAAACTGGCACTTGCAATAAAGTTTGGTTTACAAACTTTTATTTCTGCAATGTACATGGTAATTAAAGGGACATATTGTTTGTTAACATTTACAATCTCACTGCCTTCAAGTTTGAATAATTATAGGCTCCGACGATAATCTGATAAAACAGTAAAGAATAAATCATTTTGAAGTAATTGATAGTGTTCACAATATGCCATTGCCTGCACTGAAACAATGCTACGTGAAATCAGATACAATAGTATCTGCCAATTTTGACATCATGACTGCATTTCTGCAGAATATCTTTGTACGTAGACGTGCAAATTTCACAAACCTTTAGAAAATGTTTTACTATATAGTTGTGAGTTATTTACTCAATATAGTATTTGATTGTAGCACCAGTCTCATTTATCACGATTGCTATAGGTTGAGCTGGGAATATGGGATACACCAAGTCAAGAATTGTATGGAAGACTGAGAACTGGATTCGCATACCCCAAGACGGACGTTGTACTTCTTTGCTTCTCGTTTGATCGACCCGACAGATTTGAAGACATCTCGGAGAAATGGATACCAGAGGTGAGGCATAATGGTTCTCCGCAGTCAATATCCTAATGTAGATTAACTGAAATTCTTATCTTCAACCCGACCCTGCATGGACCAAACACTATGGCCCGAATTCACAAAGGAGGTTTGTCGACAAACCGAGGTTTATGTACGTCATATGACGCGTTTTGACGCGTTTTGACGCGTTTTTTACAAACCTGGTTTGTAAAAAACAAAAGGAGGTTTGTCGAAACAAAAGGAGGTTTGTCGACAAACCTCCTTTGTGAATTCGGGCCTATCAGTCCAGTCAATCTAGCGATATTTATATTTAGGAGGTTACCCACTACCTCTACCTAACCACAACCCTGACCCTAAACCTAACCCAAACCCCATTGCAAAAAAAAAAAACTATCGCAATAATAACCTTTGACGAAAGAAAGCCAGGGGCAAATGTTGGCAGCCCCGTTCCGGTTGATCTCATCTTATTGAAATGTTAAAAAGTCTTAAACATCATAAGCGTTAGGGATTGGTGACCTTTTATTTAATAGCTTATTACACCTCTTAGAGGGGCATGATATCTTAGTAATGTCCCTAATAAGCACCCCCCCCCTCATTAATATGTATAATTGTAATAAATGGGACCGTCAATACCTATAAAACATTTAATGAAGTTGGTAGACTAGGGGACTGTGGTAAAAAAAAAATGTAACCGGTTTTACTTAACAGGTTTCCTTTGCTTGGCATGAAAGGAATATCAAAACAGTTATGAACCGGAAGTGAACATAATTATGGCTGTCTAAAATCAAGTCAGTAGAAGCAAGTATACACAGATCATAATATATTTTATCAATGGTCTGTACGTTTTTTAAATCCCTTTTTTAGTAGGTGAAGAAGTACCTCCCAAAGGCACCTATCATTTTTGTGGGGAACAAGAAAGATCTTCAAAATGACAAGGATACAATACAAGAATTGTTAAAGAAGAATCAGGAACCGGTAAAAACAGAGGATGCCCAGGTCCTTGCAAAAAAGATCGGCGCCATTTCATATCTAGAATGCTCGGCCAAGGAAAACAAAGGCTTCAGAGAAGTGTTTGAGACTGTAGCATTGGCAGGAATAAAACAGGATGAAAAGAAGAAGTCGTCAAAATGCACCCTCTTGTGAATAAAAGAACCTTAGGTATCTCGCAATTGGCTTATCTGGGGGGGGGGGGGTAAATATCGCTGATCTTACCAATATACGTCCTTCAGGAAGACCTTTTTTCATGTATACTATTTTGATTCGTCAAGTCGATACTTTTCTCTTCTCATATAACTTTGTCATAAGCAGGGGAGCACAGTGCTCTCACTTTTTCAAGTTCCCCGAAAGTGCCCGTTTTAACATAGGAAGAGTGCCCTATATTACTTTGACAAGTGCCCCTTTTCCGTTTAATAAGTGCCCCTTTTCACCTCTGATAAGTGCCCGTTTTATTCTGACATTGACCATTTTCGTTGTGATAAGTGCCCCCCATTTTTTTTTATACCGAGCCCTTCCCCTTCTCATAAATGACCCCTTTTTCACCTCTGAAAAATGCCCCTATTAACATCTGGTAAGTGCCCCTTTTCATTATCTCTGGTAAGCGCCCTTTTTCATTTCGACACAACCCATTTTTCCCTTCGTATAATTGCCCCTTTTTCTTCGGATAAGTTTCCCGTTTCCTTTTTATTAAAGGCCGTTTCCCCTTCTCATAAATGCCCCTTTTCACCTCTGATAAGCGCCCCTTTTATTTTGACACGTGTTCCCTTTTCCCTTCAAATAAGTGCCCCTTTTCCTTATTATAAATGTCCCCTTTTCTTTTTAATAAGAGCCCTTTCCCCTTCACACAAATGCCCCCTTTTCACCCTTGATCAATACCCCTATTAAACACAGATAGGTGCTCCGTTTCCATTCTCATAAGTGCTTCTTTTCAGCTTGCTTGACAAGTGCCTCTTTTCATTTTTAATAAAGACACATTTTCCTTTTGATTAGTGCCCTTTTTCTCTTTTATAAGAGTCCCTTCAATCACCTTTTAATAAATGCCTCTTTTTACCCCTATTAAAATCTTATAGGTGTTTCTTTTCCTTCGACAAATGCGTCTTTTCCATTCCCATAAATGCCTCTTATTTTCATATCTGGTAAGCAAATTATTGGATGAACAAACTTGTAGATGGAAAATTCAGATATTGGATTGAAAAGATTGGATTTTTTCCAGATATTTAACGATATAATTTGAATAAGAAAGATATGAAAATGCTGTGTATACAAAATGGACTGTCAGAGTTTTATCAAAATCTTCTCGTTGCATGGTCAAAATTTAAATATCGAGATTTAGTTGAGGTAACAGAAATAGAAGAGGAGATATTATGGAAAAACAGTCATATTAAATTTAAAAATTCTACATTATTGTTTTCAAAGTGGTACGTAGCTGGAATTTGTAAAGTAAAGCACGTCATGATTACAAATGGTAAATGGAAAGACTCGCTTATGTTAAATAGTAAAGTTGGTATTCATCAATTATTATTTGAGTTCGAATACGCAAAATTGAAGAAATGTTTCCCATGCTATTGGTTAAATAAATTATACGTTCTAAAGAATGTTCAACTAAGTAGTAAACAAAACGATTTTTATGTAATCGAAGTAGCGACAGGGGATTTTGTTGATTTCTCTAGTTTCAAGACGAAACATTTTTATTTATCCCTCCTGAAACAAAAACTTCAAAAACCAAATGTTACACGTTACTGGGAATATTACTTGAACTTACCTGTTTCTTTTAATTGCCAGAAAGTATTCAATTTTAAATTTCAACAAATAGGAAATAAAGCAAGTTAATTTTAAAATATTGCATAATATATTTCCATCAAAACATAATTCATGCAGATGGCGTATAATGGAAAATGACCAGTGTGATATATGTAAAGAAACAGAAACTACTTTTCATGTCTTGTTAAAATTTAAAAGCGTTAGAATTTTTTGGAAAATTATTAAAAACTTATGTTATAATAACTTTCATGAACAAATAAATATTAATGAAAAAGCATTAGTTATAGGTTATTCTATTGAAAAAGGGGAAAACTTTGTGATAAACTTCATGTTAATTTTAGGACAATACATAATATACAAAATGTATATTACACTTCGGTGTGATGGTAAAGATTTCAATAGTAAAAGTCTGTTCATTAATTTCAAATTAAAACTACGATATTACATAGCAAATAAACAAAGTATTTATTGACGAAACACAAAGAAATTTTTCAAGAAATGTTAAGGTTATAACTATTTATTTAATTACTTTTGTATTTTTTTATTATGTTAAAATGTAAATTGATGTAAATATATATGAAATGTGAAATATGTGAAATAAAACACCTCGGTAAGAGGACAAGAAAAACAAATCTCTGGTAAGTGCCCTCTTCCAGGTGCGAGGAGTGCCCCATTTTCACCTCTGTTAATTGCCCTTTTTACTCTGTCACGTGCTCCTTTCTTTTTTAATAGATGTCCATTATCCTTTTGACAAATTTTCCCTTTTTCGTTTTCCATTAGAGTATCCCCTAATTTAAAGCGACTAAGAGCAACCTTTTCTTTAATTTCATTTAATAAGATCATTTGTCATGTAAAATATATGAACATTACTGGGGATTCGAACATAATAGGCCTAATTAGATTTGAAATTCCTTGTTTTTACATCTTGTTCGAACAAGCATAAGGTCTCCTCTTTTTTTCATGTACAAAATATGATCTTACATAAGTAACTTTTTATAGAATTTCTTTAGTTAATGACGAGAGTTGTATGTTGAATATTAATATTACACTTTGAATTATGTTTGTTTGATTGATAACCTGCTGTTCCTGATACTTAAAAAAAAAAGCTATTTGTACAAATGTTTGTGAAAGAATAAATAAAAAGAACTATGAACTATGTCTTATTCACTTTAGGGTGATTACATTAAAGAGATAGGCCTAGAGTTATACACCATTCAAACAGAGAATAAAACAAGTAATTAAAACAGTAATTAAATTTATTACATAAGCAACAATAATGGAATATAAAAGTATTTCTTTGTATACGTAAAAAGGGGTAACATGACAAATCTCAATTCAAATCTCGATTTGCAGAGTGGATGAAAAGTTTTCCTTTTCTTTTATGAAGGAAGAAAACACTGAAGCAGAATTTTGATAATAATTATGTAGACCAAGTACGTTCTTATCAAATTACTTTATAGCCATTGTTGATTATAGGCTAAGCCAAAACAGACCGTGAATGGGGATTATAAATTTAATGTCATTATGCATTTAAGTTTCCCTGCTTACTTCATCTACATAATGTTATTCTTTAAAACTATTGTGAATTGATAATATGAACTATATACACACATACACACATGTTTTGAAACATTTTATTTGTTGCATTTCAACTGAGAACAGGGGGATGGATGGCAACACAATTAAAGACAATATGAAAGAACGAAATAGAATAGTATTTCGTTCTTTCATATTGTCTTTAATTTTGTTGCCATCAAATTTTGACGAAGTACAAATAGATAGACAATGATAATACCTTGAAGTACATGTCAAAATAGGCTGTTATTTTAATTTTAAGTAAGTTCTAGATGTAAATGGGAGTGAAATATGGTGTACAACCATTCTTCACCCTAATATTTTTTTTCTTCATCCACAATTCATAGTTTATGATTTTATATTATGTTAAGCCCATTAACGTTTTCTGTATAAACACATAATAATGAAAGAAATTAAAAAGCAAGAACATTACTTGGTATATTATACGCGTTGAAATAGGATTGATCGAATGTCTAAGAATAGAACACAAAGGCTAAATTGTTTTTCCTATGGACTATCTATAGTACTTGCGGTATGGGCAAATGGTCATTTTCCTCGACGACTTAAATTTACGAATTATTTCATCAACTGAGTCAGCATCAAAGCTATATATTTTAATGCAGGCGCGGAGATAGAATCTTATTTTAGGGAGGGCGGTAGTGAGCAAGCGAATCACTTAAAGAGCGCGCGAAGCGCGCTCGATCATTAAGGGGGTGTGTGGGTGTTAGGCGTTAAGCTTAGGCATTTCCTTAGATTATTAGGAAAAGAAGACGATTTATTGTACCGTTCTCGACTTTAATCCTTGTCTCAATGAAGTTTCCCCCCCCCCCTCCCGCGCGAAGCGCGGAAGCTTTGACGTTTCATTAAATTATTAGAAATAGAAGACGATTCGCTGTACCGTTTTCGACTCTTAATAAGCCCTAATTGTCTAAATTCAGTTTCCCCTTTCTCTCCCTCTCACTCTCTCTCTCTCTCTTTCTCTCTCTCTCTCTCTCTCTTTCTCTCCCTCTCACTCTTTCTCTCCCTCTCACTCTCTCTCTCTCTCTCTCTCTCATTCTCTTTCTCTCTCTTTCGTTATACACCTGTGTTCTAGTACACTATATATTCTCCAATATGAATATCTTTGTAATTCCAGATACAATAGACCAGTTTACTATTGTTTTCAAATTTTAAGGATACTTCTTGAACATAACTTGTCCTTGACAGCCCTAAAAGTTGTCTGACATAGCAACAATAAATAGACCCATTTTAAAAATGTGTTTAAATTAGTTAACTTGGCGATGAGCTATTTAATACATTCACCCAAAAGTCAAAATGTAAGTTGCACACTTTTGGTGTATCTAGGTTCAACAACCATCCCTTTCCCTACCTAACAACTTGTAACATATGCAATTTGCACTCAAAAGAATATATATACATTTCATTGGATTGCATTTTAAAAGAAAATGGCCTATTTCATCCATGTAATACTACGACACGAAACAGGTGCGATAAATATTTTGAAAAATTGAATACTGTTGTCACTCTGGTGTTTCCTTATTTGGTTCTGTACTCGAACCTATTATAGACAAATAGAAGCAGTCTTTCCGCCAATTGTTTCATTCACAAAGAAGAGTGAGCATCGACTCTGTGGAACCCCATGCCACTGTCTGGTATCCCCATGTACGTATTTTAATTATTTTAAGGGATAGACATTGTTGTGCACGAGAGCATACAAGATGTTGATATGTTGATATGATGTCAGCTTCACGATGATGGCCGCTGGTTTTGGCCGTGATCCTGGATGGGGAGGTGGATTCCGTCTTCGAACG